TATATTGTTCCTCAATATAATAACATATTGATCTACCACAGTCTTTGTATTTAAAGGATCTCGTGGAAGTGTTGATGCTCAATTTAATGAAGTGATAATTACTTTTGAAACACACATCATCTTTTGGACCACTTAACTCAACAAGACCTGTTCCCATGAGCCTCCGATCATTGTGACCTCAGACAGTAAGGCACAGGGACAAATATAGTAAAGCTAATATTTGTACATCTATATGTAGCATTTTATTTTTAATATAATGAATGATAGTGTGAGACAAGAAAACAGATTTAGAAATGTTTAGAAATGTGTCTGACCACCAGATTTCAAAGACAACAAACTAACTTTACAGTGTATCAACTATTTAAACAAAGTAATCTAATGCCCCTGAAATTATTGTTTTTGTTGAACTCCAGAGATTGTATTTCTCCCCTTGCTGTAGTGAGTTGTAAACTAAGCACATTTGTTCCTGTTTTTCAACCTGGAGATATGTTACAATTTAACACCCATATTGATCAATGTCAGCCTATGAGTTTGGCTACAACAACTCGTGGGTTTTAAGAAAGCCACACAATCAATTTATCCAAATCTTTCTTATTTATTTCTGGTAAAAAAAAGAGCAAATACTCTCATAAATGTAATACCCATGAATGTTGCCAAATGTTAACACAAAATGGTCGGTAAACTACGGAACGTGTCTCAGCAGCTTTCACCTTGAACACCATGAAGAAAATAAGAAGCTTACCCTTGTTTAAGGTAAAGTCACAAAGGATTTCATTGCAGCTGAAATCCAACCTTTATAGAAGTTGCTTCAAATCAAATCAAATCAAATCAAATCAAGTTTTATTTATATACCACATTTAAAAGCGATTTTTGGTCGAGCCAAAGTGCTGTACATGTAATAAAAACACATTACTACAATCACAATAAAAGACAATCATTTACAACAGAAATATAAAAAACAAAAACACAGGGAATAGTCAGGTGTCATGCTGCGCTCTGACTAGAAGGCCAGAGAGAAAAAGTGTGTTTTTAGTGAGGACTTAAAAACCCCTAGGGTCTGGGCCGACCTCACATGGAGGGGCAGACTATTCCAGAGCCTGGGGCCAGCTGCTTCCTTCTTTCGTATCAAGTTTCAAGACAATGTGTTTGAATACAATTCAATAAAGCAAGTCAACCAGTAATAGACTGCAGATCATTTCATGCAGAAACCAACAGATATGAAATCCAAGTGACTACAGGCAACATTTGCAAGGTTCAAATAAGGCTCAATTTATTTTCATCAGATTGGAATATGTTGTAGAATAATAATGTTATATACGTTTTTTTCTTCTTCTTATTTTTTATCCTGGGCTAGCTTTTTGTTTTCAGAATGATTTTTTTTTTTAAATAGCAATTAAAAATGTTTTTTCCCCCATTGCCTTTTCTTTATGTATTTTTTAGCAACAAGCAAAAGTAACCCAAAAATCATAAAAAATAAATGATAAAGACACACATGAATTTGAACAGATTTGAAAAATAAAACATGCACGCTGATTTAGATAAATAACACAAAATGAATTGGTAAGTAAAATAATTACCACAAGAAAAAAAAGTGAATTCACCAACGTGCCAATGACCCGGATGTAGTATGTGAGCAATATTTGTTTCCGGTTGTCACTGTCGAATCTGACCCCCGGCTTGAACACAGCCCTGCCTCTTTCTGAAGATACACTTTTGGTCTAATTTCTGAACCGTAAGTTTGTCCCATTTTAAATTGTACCCTGTGTGTGCTCATGTTTTTAACTCCACTTTATCCTCCTTATCTTTTTACGAGTGTTTGTTGTCAATAAGGCTGGATAAAGCTAAGGTCAGCGCTTGCGTAGCCTGACAGCTAACTAGCATGCTAAGCTATCATGCTAGTCAGGAGTGAGCTAATGTGTGACTTTCCAATGAGCCAGCCATTTTCTGAAAACACATTAACCTCTGTAACTTACACGTTCACCTTTCTACAGTCGGTAAAGTCATTAGACATGTAACAGTAGTTGGACATCAGGTCGACTGTTAGCTACAATGTTAAGCTAAGTTAGTAGTCACATTTGGATGCTAATGCTGCTAGGAGCTGACACTGGCTGTAATGTTGTGGAGTGTGAACTGTGTGTGTCATCATACATAAATATAAACCAGCGAAGGAGCAGGTTATTTGAGGTTGTGTGCTCTTAAACGAACATGTCATGTATTGCATAATATCTCAAAGGCATGGACACATTGAACAACATTCTTCTTGGATGAACAGTGAATGAATGATGAATATTCATGTTTTTAAGTACATATTCCTACTACTTTTTCATATCTCAGAACAAAGATGTTACCTAAAAAGAGTAAAAGAGAGCAAGCTTTAACTCCCTACCTCCTGCATGATTTCTAAGTTTAATGCATTAAATGTAAAGATAAATCTCCACAGTAGCAACTTCTTTAATGTCTTTCCACTTATATATATACTCTCTGACTGACTTCACTACTACCAGTTACTCACCTCAATCATCATGGACCTAGCTTGATGACAATAATATCTTTTGGCACATTTGACCTTTCTAATATTTTGGATAGGGTTGCATACAAAACAATATGCAACTTTGATGTTCGGTGGTGTTTCACAACTGGAACGATGGAGTATACATTGCAGATAGTTTTGAAATCTGTGCTGCGTGATCATAGACAATAGAGAGGCAAAGTCCCTCCCTTTCCGGGGGAGCTCCATGGGACCTTATTTCGGAAAAAGTATGTATTGAAGTCAATGGGGAGAGAAAGATTATCTTACGATCCCGTTTGAATTGTGCCACGAATTACACATATATGTTTGTCAATTTAAAAGATAATTTTGCAAGTCAAAAAAAAAAAAATGTGTCGTAAAACTAGGGGTCGACCGATATGGCTTTTTCAAGGCCGATACCGAATATTAGTAATCAAGGAGACCGATAACCGATATTTGGAACTGATATACATTTGCAGTAAAATCAGAAAATCTTGGTGTCAAAATGTAGAATAACAGAACTTCTATGAAATGCCTTTTTATGTTTAATGAACTTTTCAACATCTTAAAACTGGTTTCCTCTCTGTGACCCTGAGTAAAATAAATGAAGTTAAAATAAAAACTACTAAAACTTCTGATATTTGAGTCTCACTCATTTAGTAGTCCCAATTCAGCAGCACCAGATTGTGCAGAAAGCAGAGTTGCTGCGAGGCTCCACTAGCAGCCGTCACAGTCCCAGTCGTCCCAGCGCGTCACAGTTTCTCCGCTGCGAGACGCTACCCGCCCCTGCCCCTTAGTAACTGGGAAACTGATAGAATTGGATCATAAGATCGTGGTGTTTTTGCAACTTCGGCATAGGGGATTGGGATGCTTATTGAATTTCGGCTTTCAACTGATTTACCTTCGAAACACCGCTCACTGCTGCTGCTTGCCTCTGTCTGTGTTCTTCGCACCTGCCTGTAATCTGAGAAGGTCCCGCCTCTCTGGCTGGCTGCAGCCCGGAAAATCTTCAGTGTTGATTGACACTTCAGTAATAGCCTATCAGATAGCGCTGTGGGCGGGACATTGCTCGTGAACAGTGGTGACTGCAGCCAGAGAAACGGCCGCATCAGAGCCAAAGTCGTATCGGCAATTTGATTTTAAAAAAGCCGATACCGATAATCTGTAAAATGCGGAATATCGGCCTCGATAATCGGCCAGGCCGATAATCGGTTGACCCCTACGTAAAACTGTGAAGTAACACTTTTTTTTGTGTGAAACCGCTCAATGAACTACATCTCCCGTCTCGCACCACACACCAAGACGGCCGTCACGTTGGCACATTTCACTTCTTTCTTTCAGAATGAGGCGAAAAGTATTAAACGAGGTGAAAATCACTCCAAGTCTGGGCATGTTGAGAGCTGTACGTACACACAAGGGGAGTTAGTCGGTCCGTAAGAGCCAGCATGCGGGACCGGGATTCTGGGATTTGTAGTCTTTCTAGTTGCGTATTTTTCATAGTCTTATATTTCAACAGTTTTACGACAAACTGTGACTTTTTTGACATGGAAATTATTTTTTAAGATTGACAAACATCATATGTGTAATTCATGGCACAATTCAAACGGGATCGAAAGATAATCTTTCTCTCCCCATTGACTTCAATACATAACTTTTCCGAAATAAGGTCACATGGGGCGGAAGTAGATGGGCGGGACTTCGCCTCTCTATTGAGAAAAAAGGTTGTGGCATTCCCTATTGCTGCAAAGGTTTTTAAAAAGAAAATAAACGTTGCTTTGCTGTAGCAGCTTACTCCTCCTGAAGTATATGATTATCCTTTTGTATTGAGGCTTATTAACACAATCTGTAGTTTAAACTTCAGCACTAGACCTGGTAAAAAAACGTAATTTGGCTGACTTTTGCTCGCTGACTTTCCCTCGTCACTCAACTCCTGCAAACATTTTTTAAATCTGTGCTGCGTGATCATAGACAATAGAGAAAATAGGTTGTGGAATTCCCTTTCTTTGCTGCAAAGGTTTACAAAAACAACCTACAACAACCAGAATGCACTGGGCTCTTTGCTGTAGCAGCTTATTCCTCCTCAAGTATATCATTATCCTTCTGCATTGAGGTTTATTAACACAATCTCTAGTTTAAACTATAATAATAATAATTCATTCTATTCAGAGGCGCCTTTCAAAGCACCCAAGGACACCTTACAATTCATAAAAATATTCTAAGGAAAGGTTTAAGACCGTACAAAAGGACCGTAACAGGGGACATGTAGCACTACAGTGAGTAGGCTGATCTGAACAGGTGGGTTTTGAGGAGGGACTTGAATGTGTCAGCTATATATTGTGTCTATAGCCCTGGACCTGGTAAAAAAACTTAATTTGGCTGACTTGTCCTTCATCACTCAACGCCTGCTCCTCTTTCCCCAGGTACCAGTCCATGTGTGGTCTCTAATGGGCGGCTGGTCTCGTGGTGCCGTGCTGGAGCTCTACCGGGCGCTGCTCCGCGCAGGCCGCCAACTTCAGTACACCGACCGCAACTACTATCGCCGTGCCGTGGCTCACGAGTTTCGCCGCTGCCAAGACCTGAAAAAAGCTCAAGATAAAGAGGAAGCGCTGAAGAGGGGCCAGTTCTTCCTCGACAGCCAATTGGGCGGGCTTATGTAGGGGGAGAGGGGTCATCTGGAGGAGGGTTAAAGGTCATCTGGAGGAGTGTCACCCAGGTAGGTTTGCAAATAAGATAACATTACATTTAGCTGACACTTTTATCCAAAGCGACTTACAATGACATTCTCCCTGGAGTAACTAAGGGCTAAGTGCCTTACTCAAGGGCACACTAGTGGTGATGTTCCTGGCGGGATTTGAACTCACAACCTTCCGATCTTCAGCCCACCTCACTATCCTGATAATACTCTTTGTCAGCAGTTATGTGCCATTTTCTAGATCTGAGACATTCTTTGTAGGAGTTTGTAACACAATAGGGCAAAAGCCATCCGTAGGAACATGTAGGGTGTGGCTACTCATAGATTCTCTTTGTGTAGGGGCAATATTCAACAGTTGCCTCTGAGTTAAGCAACTTAACAAAGAAAATACCTTTTTTATATTTCCCTGTAACCTTACTGCCAGTGTCTCTGTCTTCATTTCCTCCATCTTCAGCGGCAGGATGGCGGGGGTGAATGGAGACCGCAAAGGCAAGAAAGATGACAATGGGATCGGCACTGCCATCGACTTCGTGCTCTCTAATGCTAAGCTGGTGCTGGGAGTGGGGGGAGCGGCCATGTTGGGGATTGCAACGCTTGCTGTCAAAAGAGTAAGCGATTTATCTCCAACCTTTTTCATTTTCTGACATGAAAAGGACCTTACTAAGGATTCAAGGCTTTTATTGTCATGTGTGCATAGCTACAGTGTAGTTATGTCGATGGAAATCTTAGGTCACACTAGGGCTGTGCGATTATGGCAAAAATCATAATCACGATTATTTTGGTCAATAATTGATAGCACGATTATTAAATACGATTATTCATTGACTTTGAAAACATCCATTTATTGAACTTTTAAATACAAATAATAATTTGAACAGTATCTTTTTAACTGTTGATTTCCCTGAGCGTATAATTCAACTGAAAAACCAATACAAAAATGTATTAAATAAATGATACATTTATTTAATACATTTAAATAAATAATATCAAATAATAATAAATACCAATAAACAAGATCAGCAAATATTTTGGAGCGCACTTCAACAAGCTACTAAACATATATAAATATGATAAATACAAATACATTTGATCAAATATGTTGCAGTGCACTGTCACAACCTAGCAAAGCAAAATAATCGTTTTTTTCGATTATGTTATTTTCGTAATTGTGGCAGGCCAAAATCGTAATTGCGATTAAAATACGATTAATTGCACAGCCCTAGGTCACAGGCCCCTCCAACAGTGCAACACAATAAAACAGATCAAATAGTGCAAGTAAATACAATAAAATAGAATATAGTGCAGAATACTAAGGATCCATGCAATTCTTTACCGTGCAGATGTACGACCGTGCCATCAGTACTCCCAACAGCCCGACCAACTTGGAGCAGACGGGAAGGAGGAGCTGGGAGGAGCCTGCATGGATGGGGTCATCTCCCCGGGTGCTGAACCATGACATGAAGTCCACAGTGAGCCGGTCCCTGCAGAATCTGCCCACTTCCTCTCATGCTTTTGAACCAGGTGAGGAAAGTGAAGCTACATCATTCCCATGTCCTTGTCTCACGTGCCTTTTTTTATTATTTTTGAGCGGCCTATTTTGTGGTTTAGACTTTCAGCCAGCTGTCATTTTATCTGTTGACAGACCGCCTGCTTGGAGGACTCTTGCTCTTCCTTTACAGTGGGTGTGGGTGTCTTCCTTTACTGTTGTTCAGTAGTGAGTTAGCCAGTTGTAAACATATCAGTTAGTTATATATTTTTAGATACTATAGAAGCCCCTATTTAGTATTTGTAGAAAACAAACCCGTGCCTCTTCCGTCTTTTTCCACTTGAACTCCCTTCTATTCAAAACTCATTATTTTGTAATGGTGTAAAAATAAGATTTTTCTTATTTCCTTTCTCTTCATCTCTTCTGCCGTCTCCTCAGACTGTCTGCGGAGGGCCGTGGGTCGATCAGCTGTGGGAGGCAGCGGCGCCACTCAGTCGGACCTTCAGAAGGCTCGGACGCGTCTGTCGCTGCAGGAACATCTGCTGGACTTCTACCAGAATAACGTGAACATCCCCACCGAGGAGCAGGCTGTGGCGAGGAGGGCGGCGCTGGACATCTGTGCCGAGCTCCGGGTGTTCCTTCACGCCAAACTGCCCGACATGCCGCTCAGAGAGATGTACCTGAGTGGCAGTCTGTATGACGAACTGCAGGTAAGAGCAAACAGTCTGTTTTCTAAATTGGGGTTTTCTATTTTGTTGTGTTTTTAAAATGTTTTTACATCATGTATGAGGGTTTTCAGTCTGCGGCTATAAGTATGGTTTTATTGTCTCGTGCTTTTACATTTGTTTCTTTTTGTCCTATCGGCTTTGTCTAAATGTATTTATGCTGCTTTTTGACATTTGTATTGATGTACAGCACTTTGGTCAACTCTGTTGTTTTTAAATGTGCTATTTAAATAAAGTTGGATTGGATTGGTTTAAGTGAGAGGTGGGCAATATGGTTTATATCAGATATCCCAATATTCTTGAAAAAATAAATATATTCAATTTTTCTTTATTTTCTAGGTGGTGACAGCGGACCACGCCCAGCTCATGGTGCCTCTCATCTTGGAGAAGAACCTGTGGTCGTCCATCCCCGGCGAGGACACCATCATGAACGTCCCGGGTTTCTGGCTCATCCGCAGGGAGAATTTAGAGTATTTCCCTCGGAACAGCAGCTACTGGGACCGCTGCATGGTGGGAGGCTACCTCTCCCCCAAATCAGTCCTGGAGGTCTTCGACAAACTGGTGGCGGGCTCCATCAACTGGCCCGCCATCGGCAGCGTCCTCGACTACATCATTCGCCCCGTGGTTCCCTCGGAGACGCTGACCCTGGAGGTGCAGTACGACACAGAGCGCAGACTGTACGTGGACTTCCTGCCGTTACTCGTGATGGAGGACGGAACCTCGCTGATCGCCAAACCTCATCGTCTTGTCGCCGAGCGTCACGAAAACCTGTGGAGGCAGAGCTTTCGAGTGGCGGAGACGGCGCGACTCAGGGCGCTGGACCAGGAGGACGGGGGGTGTCGGTGCGCCTGCCTGAAGCTGGCGAAGGCAATGTGCAAACTCAACCCCGCTCTGAACCGCCTCAACGCCAGCCAGCTCACCAACTGCATCCTGCTGCTGTGCGAGAAGGAGGGCGACTGGACGAAGGACGCGCTGGCCGACCGCTTCCTCCAGCTGCTGCGAGCGCTGGTGGGACACCTGGAGGCCGGGAGGCTGCCCTGCGCCCTCAGCCCCAAAGTGAACTTATTCTGCGAGCTGACGGAACAGGAAGTGGACGAGCTGGGGTACACGCTCTACTGCGCCCTGTCCGATCCGGCGGGGCTGCTGAGAACAGACATGGAAGAGCCGCCACAACCGTGACAACCTCGTGTAAAAAAACATCACTACAAACAGCAACGGGGGATTTCAATTAACACTGATTTGTGGGCGATGGTCACCTCGACATAACATGGTTCTGGGAGCGGGAAAAAGTGCATGGAGTCCAAAACACTCGATCTGGTCAGTCTTAAACGCCATCAGTGAGAAAATGTGATGCACACTGTAGCAGCTACTAAATGTTAAGATACGTCTTGACATGAAAGATGTTTGTCTTGTTCTCATGCAAAAAGTATTTGATCTCAGTTAAGGCCCATTGATGGATCTCACCAAAGCCATTGTATTAATGAAGTTGAGAGGAGACACACTGATATACATCTCGGTGGAGGTAGTGCACGCTGCATAGGTTGGTGCAGGAATGAGTCCTAAAACCTGGAAATGAGTCACCATTTTAGCACCTGAAGCTTTTCTCGTCTCGACATCATTGGTTTTTGGATGTGTTTGTATGCCTGAAATAAGTTCTGTGGTTAACAGAAGCAAAAGAGATATTCATGTTTTGTTCCCTGCTAGCTGAAGTGGCTAAATTAGATTACTAAACATCATCACGCCAAACATTAGCTGCCTTTAGCTTAGCGGTTGTAGCTATAATGTGTGTTTACCACAGAGCTTGTTTTACGCATGTTTCAAAATCCAATGAAAAACAATCCTTGCAATGCTAACTTCCACATTAGCCTACAGAGGTACATCATGCCTGCAGCAGCCTATTGGTGTGTCCATATGAAAATAACAAGGTGAATATAATACATGCGTCTTCCTCACATTTGTCCTCTTTTTATCTTGTCGGAGTCTTTAAGGCGCTCCCATGCGGTGGTTCACTGATGGATGCCGGGATGCCAATCCAAAATAAAAATGTCAATGAGCTGAAGAGACAAGCCTACTCTTTTCATCCACCTTTCGTTCTCTCATTAAATACTGTGTTCAGTTTGAAATCATGCTGTGTGTCAGAACTTCATTAAAACAGTGGCTGCGTTGAAGATTTATGAATGGGATCTGTGTAAACAAACATTGGGCTGTGATGGGAATGTGTGCAGCTTGCATGTTATCTAGAAATCAATCGGGGGGGATAAGAAAATGTAATGTCTTTGTATCTCACAACATTCAATATGAATCAGATGTAAAGCTGAATATACAACCATAAATAGAACATGTGAAGCTTCTGAATTGTCTGTCATGAAATTTGAACAATACAGCTTCACCACTTTGGCGAGATTTGTGTCCATGTGTCTAAAACAGAGCCGCTCTTAGTTTGTCATGTCAGGAGGTTTGGTTCTCCAGTCACATGTGTTCATAACGAATATGCTTTATTATCTAAGTTAAAACCAAAGTTATTTTTGCACTATCCAAATGTTTGTAGGTTTATCCAAAGTGTCTCAGCTGGAAAGTGGAAGTGTTCTTGTCTTCTAGTTGCTTTAATTTAAATCCAGGTTTCCTCTTGATCATTATCTTCTACATTTCTTAATAGTCCATTTTCGGCTTCGTCCCTTTTTTGAGAAATCTCTACGAGACACACAGCTGTTAAACTGGTACTAACGTTTGTCGATGGTGAGTTAGTCTCAGTATTCATTTCCTGATAGAACAAAGAGCCCGTTACATCTGTAGAGTTATTTCTCTATCTCTGTGCATACCTGTGCACGTGCAAGTCCGTATTACCCTCTGAATAACCTATAGGTCAGTGGTCCTGGACCGTTCTGTGTATGAAGTGTTTGACAGCACATGACCTGTCATGACGTGATTCTCCTGTCAAATCTGTGTATCTCTAGATTTCAGGTGCTAATCTCTTTTAGACCTTGATCTGATTGAGAGGGATCTACTTATCTACTCAGTTATATAATGCTAGATTAGCCTGCTACACTGCAGGTGGAGTCAATACAACAATAGCTGCCAGACTGTAAAGTGTGTCACTCTGTGAAATGACAAAACATGTCCAAAATTCATCACATGGTTGCTTTTTGTTCTCACTTTTAGCCTTAGAATGAGAAATAAATGCAGTGATAGAGCCCTCAACCCCCAGTGTGTATAGTGTACAATATGCAGGGTTATTTATGCATTCAGTTAGTAATCATCCAGAGAACAGGTGAATATTTTTGTATTTATTGTACATTTGTAACCAAAAAGAGCTTGATTTTATTTGCATTTCACTCACCATGTAAAGTACTGCTTAATGTGCTTCATGAAGTGCTTTGTGCTGGATGTACGGATTTGTAATGAACTCACGGTAGAGCGACATGCTGCCGTCAGAGTGGAGGGGAGTCACTGCCACATTTCTATTGTTATTGTGAAACAAAGTAGATCACTACCTCTACCTTGTGGAGTTCATGCTAGCCATACGCTTTGTTGCATGCTGTGTATCCCCATCCCCCACCTCGCTTCTTTTAGTTCAGCTCTGGAGTTGAACGCGGCAGCACTTTGTATACTTCCATTAAAATATTACAAATGATATTCTCTTATTTGTTTTTTCTTCTAAGGATGCAGTGTTGAAAGCACAGATCACAATAAACACTCAGCCGTCCAATATTGTTAAATATTTAAACTTTAATTCAGTGATATTTGGCAATAAAAATTCACATAGCAAGACAAATATCCTGAGATACCTTAAGCAACAACATCATTAGACTTTGGGAGCAGGAAATGTTGGAAATGAAAGTAAATTACAATTTAGTTGCATTTGTTCCCCCTTGTAAAAAAATCCTGCTCAAATTGCATAGTTTTGATTGAATCCTGCCATTTCAAAGATGCTCAAACTCGGATTCACAGACACATTTTGGGAAGCAGTCCTTTGTTCAGCGGCCGAACATCTACACCCCTTGCTAAATGTTGAAATGTCTAATGTAGCATCTGGCTAATGTAGCATCTGCGTCACTCGTAAGCAGCTAGTTTCTCATGTAAACCTCATTATTCTAAGCAGATGTGAAATATAAAAAAAAGGTGGCAAACCAGGTATTGCAGCAATATCAAGCACTACATTCTAGTAACATTGCTGCTGACCTTTAGCTTGGTTTGTTGCCACCTTGAAAGTTAAATAACTGCTAGAAATGAGAAGAAGTGCAACATATTTCCCACACAGTGGTCAGGGAGCTACTTGGAGGGGGCGAACCCGACTCGATCTGCGTTCCTGTCGAACACGGTGTAGTACTTCCCGATGAAAACATCTCCCAGAATCCACAGCGGCCCTGCAGGGGGCGGGATGTCCATCGCCATGAAGCCTGACAGACAGATGGCCTGACCCATCTGAGACTCCTGCATTTAAAACAAGCAAATATTTGTTATCCAAGTTTCAGCATAAGATAAGACTTTATTCATCCCGAAGGAAATTGTTGTGCCAGAGTTACAAAAACACAATAAACACAGCAGCACAATAATAATAATACTGTACACTAACAGTGCAGTAAAACGAGCAATTCAATAACTACAGGAAACATAGATGGTCACATAATTAATGTACATATTAACAGTATTTAATAGTGCAAGAAAACATAGTTACGTACATACATTTTGCATTCAAAAGTGAAATATGATGTTTTGTTACAAATAACACAGTTTACCCAACAATACCATTAGGAGCACTGAAACAATATCATTAGCTGAAGAGAGACAATTAATTAGCAACTACTATCGATTGTTCAGGTCACACTTTTAACCTGTTTTTAATCCTTCAAGTACACTTTCCAGATAATAAAAAACACACTTAACTTCTCTTCACTCGTAACAGTATTTTCTCAGTTAAGTAATAGTACTTTTACTAGAATAAAGCATCTGAATACTTGTTTCACTACCAGGGTTAGCATCCGTTTAGTTGACTCTACCTAAAGCGCATCATCAATAAAAGGGAAGTGTTTGATAATACAGTAACCATGGAGCTCTGTGGCACAGAGGAATACGCTGTAGTAGGCTTTTGCTACAGAAACACTTCTTTTCAAAATACAATACAAGTCAAGGCATTACTGGTTGTGATACTTTCATGGGATTTGTTAAATAATAAGTGACCTACCTTCATGACATAATCCTCTCCCGTCAGGTTATACATCTTCCCTCCGATGTTGAAGGAGACCACAGGGAGAGATGGGATCCTCTTACAGTCGATCCAGTACTTAAGAGGAGAGGAGAATAAGCTAAGATTATCTCAAGAGACTGTAAAAAAACAACCACGTTGAAAAATTCATCAGGAATTATTTTAAAAAGCACATCTGGAATACAAGATTGAGACTAAAGCATCAGGTCTTCTGTCTAATATCTTTGTTTCCCATCAGCTCTACCTCTCCCATCAGCAGGGGCAGAGCTCCGATGGCCTTCTGCAGCGCTCTGACTTCAGCTTTAGGACCGACGATGAGGGACGTTCCCGTGTCGACAATCGCCTGGCAACCACCTTTGCAGACAGTCAGCTGTTCCCCAATTCCAACTCTAAAGGGGGAAGGACAAAAAGTGTATTTACAACATCTGTTTACAAATGTGTTGACATGCTACTGTTGTGCAGACCACACATGTACTATATTTTTTTATTAAAATAGTTCATCTGTTTTTATTTATTTTGTTTTACGTATGCACCATGACATCAAGTCAAATTCCTCGTACGTGTCAACCTACTTGGTAATAAACTTGTTTCTGACCAAGAAAACACTATCTCCTAATCAATTAAAAAAAATATACACATTTTCACACACACGCAACTGACTGCGGTAATAATGTATTAGAGATTAAGGAATGGTCGATTTGTGCATTATCATGTTTTTGGTATTTTGAGAGTCCTTCACATTGGGGAAGAAGTAAATGTTTTCCTCATCAGTCAGAATACCATTTTCAACTACCAGGTAAAGGGCGGCGTCACACCAAAAGTGAGAACAGGATGTGAGTCAACCTCCTCTACTCTATTTCAGTTCCTACTTAGAAATGAAGCAACAAAAGGTCCCTTCTCACCCGCTCATCTCGATCTGCCAGTAGGCCTTTCGTGTGACATTAACATAGTGCAGGTCTCCGGTGTAGTACTGAGGGTCCGTCCCCCCCAGAATCAGCTCTCCCCCCACTGCTGCTTTAGGGTCTCTGAGAGAAAGGGTGGACAGAAGAACAAATCATTGTTATAAAAATACACACAACATTTGCAAACTTCTTTAAAATTATATACTTCAAGCTAAATTCTGCATTTTTTTTTTAACTGTTTATTTTCATTTTTACAAATCAAAACATATCCTGACATAGGACTTTTCCATTCAAATGACAAATAATAATAATAATATGGTAAAGTATATAAGTAAAAAATACAAAAAAACAGTTACAAGTTAAAATAAGGAAATAAAGATTATAAAAAATAAATTAATAATAGTAAAGTAAATACAAATTAATAAAAGCATTTTACACAAGGAGTGAAATCTTTCTCAGAGTAGGATGGGTTACACGGGGAATTCTGCACGTTTTAGAAGGTTTTCCAGTCAGACACAAACCTGCTAATGTAGAAAGAGAAAATGTTCTCGGGCAGCAGCTTGGCAGCCATGGCCGAGTCGAACACCGGGGTGACGTTAGCGACTGATATGGAGGGGTAGGCCATGCCCAGGACCCCATCGAACCGAGCCACTGCAAACGTGATACCAGGCTGCTTCACCGCCTCACCAAACTGCTGGTTCTGGACAGGCAGACCTGCAACCTGCAAACAAGAGGGACGTCAATACAAATACAAACAAAAACTCACACTCAAGATGGAGTTACAATGTGGAGAAAAACCTGTATAGCATACTACAGGAAAGGGAAGACCCCAAAAGCACAATAGGGCCATAGCAATGAGGGAAGCCAAACATATTTTTAATTTGCACAAACTAACTTCATTGCAACAATACAAAGCAATTTGTAATACAAATCTGCAACGTTTCCATTTAATGAGATGATAGGAATGGCGTGACACATCATAATTCAGTTAAACAGAAGCGCTGTGTGAGTGAGCAGTGAATGTTTTTATGAACTCACAGAGACCGTGTCCCCGCTGATGAACCCAGACAAGCTGCCTCTGCCGTACCGGATAGAGAACGCTGTGCCATTCTTAGCAAATGTGCTCGACTTCTTCGAGTTGTAGCGATGATGAACCCCTGATGACACGAGACAGTTGTTTAAAAAACAGATTTCAATAGATACAGAACACAAAGCAAGCTGAATGAGTCAGTTCCCAATTCTCACAGCAGGCTATGTCGAAGAAGGAGCAGTGGATGGAGGGAACCCAGAGGTTGGAGGAGCCGGTGTCAAACAGAACCGTGAAGGCCTGAGGAGGGGTCCCGATGCTGATCAGACCAAAGTACTGCGCCTAAAGAGAGACAGTAGAGAACAATATACTGTGAAACCACCACAGCATCAGAAGGATTCATAATATTGACTGTAAGCACATTTCAAATAAACCTTTTGACAAAAACGTGCACTTATTGTAACTTTAAATATGATCAAATTGGTTGATTGATCAGCAAGTTATTGTCTTAGATCACCAACACTAAATTGTTGCATTTGTTTGTTCCAGTCAAATAAATGCATAAAATACATTTAAAAGAAAAGACAGAAACATTTGATGTCAACCCATGGTACCGTGGGTGCCAAGAACTAATGTTAACCTCATCTTTTCCTCCTCCTTTTTCTCACTGGAGATACTTGTCAAATGTGAACTGTTTTTACCCACAGTGTATAGGCTACCTATTAACTCTTACACCTTCCTGAAATAAAACTGTACTCACTAACTATAAACCTCTAGCAGTTGAGTGAAGAGAGACTGAGAGAGGAAGCATGAATTATAATGTACTGTAGTTTACGCACATCCATGAAGTTGGTGAGCCTCTCTACGGGCACTTTGGGGGAGGGAGAGGGGGAGGGAGAGGGGGAGGGGGCACTCTCTGGAGCTCCGTTGCCCGTCGCTAAAGCTCTCAGCTCCGGCAGGGACAGCTTCCCATTGTCGCTCATCAGGCGGCGCATGGTCCGGGTTTTATAAAGCGGAACTCTGAAATTAAAATATTATTCAATTAAATGCACCGGACAAAACCATGCAAGTGCGTAATTTGCGAGAAAACTTCCTGGTACAGAGCAAGTGCAAATGTACAAACTGTTCAACTATTATTTAAAGTGCACTGGCTTATTTTAGCAGGTTTTAAATACTGATTGCTAACACGTGTGGCTTCTCGAACAAAACAAGGAAGTGAACACAAACGCCAAGCATCCATTAACCTTAATTCAAAGCTGCCTGTCGCTGTTAATTGATAACTTGAGAGTTAAATGTTATTTTAGGTCACTTTTAATGCCAAAACACCAGCTGATAAACCGTATTTACCTGAATATGGCGACGCTTTGTGTTATCAGCAGCGCCCCGATGATATAAAACATCTCCAGTCGTGCCATTTCTGTCCTGGTATTGAAATATCACACACTTCTGTATTGTTTCCGCAATTTAACACCACAAAAAAAGCACTTCACTATTTGAACTGACGCAGAAAGATGAGTGGAAACGCTTCGGCAACTTCCGCCTTTACTCGGTTTTCCCCGTTAGGCGGCTCAGTGATTGGCTGAAAATATTTAGGCAGGCGTTCTGATTGGTCGAGGAGGATGGCAATCATGTGGCATGACCTACCGGTGCACTGGGTCACGAGTTGTGCTGTGAGTCTGAAATGAATGACACATAAAAGCACATTGTGTTCATTTTAGAAACTTCAGCGGTTTATGGAAACACGTTAACTTTATCACACAGACTGCGTACAGATAAGTTGAGTAACCAAATACATGTCAGTGTTTTTGATGACAGACATGTTGTTTTGGTAAATAATTAGTTGCATTTGGGAAGCCTAATGAATGACAACGCCATGCATCCCTCCCGCTCCCTAATCATATTAAAGAGTGGTTCAGGGTTGCAGTTACAATACACTTGGGCTACTGTGAGAAACAGATATAGTAGAATAGAAAAAAATAGTGGATAAAACCTATAGTATCTAGCATAGTCTTGTGTGAGCTTTTAAAATATTTGATAAAATTACCTAATTTGATTCACTTGAGTTTTTTTTTAGCTTGGATTTGAAGACAGTTTTAGCAGCTACACTGCCTTTGCAAATGTGGGACTTCATATTTGTAAGGCATTGGCTTTTATCAGTCAGGGAAAGTCTATAAAATGCTTTCTGAGTTTAGTGTTTTGGGGGTTGGACTTAATTGACTTTAAATCAGGACATTTTACCATTCTTTTTCTAAATATGTATTTTTAAAGTCAACCAATTGATGAACTCCTTTAAAGAGAATGTATCTTTCAAAGATAGAAAAACCACCTTAGGACAACTGCTGCATGTTATACCACCTCTCTGTTTATTTCCTGTCTCGTATTCTGTAAAAATAAAGTAAAAAAATGTACTTAAATAGTGACCAGCATCCAGCTATCTAGTATAGCTTTCCTAAGACTGGAAAGTGGGAGAGACTGCTAGCCTATTAGCATATTTAAAGCTCACTAACATGTTTTATCTTGTTTGCTTAATCAGAACTAAAACACAAACTGTAAAAATGAGAAATCCCTATTATAGGGACCCCTATTATTATATTATAGGGGGTATTGCTTGCTTTAAATTGTTTTAAAAATTGCTTGTAAATGGATTGTGTTACCTTTGCAAAGGTTAGGCTAGTTTATTTCCTGAAGTCCTTATGCTAAGCTAAGCTAGTCAAAAGCTTGCCCCAGCTTCCCCCAATGGTGTGGTATTCATCTTCTCATCCAACTTTCAGCCAGACATCAAAAAAGCCTTCCCCAAAATGTCGAAATCTTTTGAGATAAGGCAAAATATGTCAGGTACTGGAGTCACTTTCTCTAGCAGTCAGTAGACACATGCCATAATGAATGATCAAACAACAGTTTTAAATCCAAACCACAGCAGATCCAATTGTAAGATGAGTCACCAAAGCTGCCTTTCAACATGCTGCCCTTTCTGCAGATTGACAACAAAGCGTGAAAGTATTTGCAGTCAGGATCACAAAGCAGACACTCACTTGGCTTGTTAAACAAGTTTTTAGATGAAATGCCTAACACAGGAAACACAAACACATGGACATAAACAGTGACATTCGCACAAGAAATCCATACGCCGTCTATCATCATCAATCAGACCTCGAGCTGTCGACAAAAAGAGAAGGGTGTCCTTCACAAGGTAAACCAATAAATTCTGGGGTTAAGACTTGGTTAAGGTGAAGTACAATAAAGTTTGTGTGTGTATTAGTGGTGGTTAAGTAAGCCCCAGGGAATGAATCAATGCTATATCCTCATAACTGATGGTGAGGATTTTTGCGTGTGTATAGATTTCAGTGTTTACATATTTTAAACTTCTCCCCACTGGTTGTTATGTGAATGTTGAAGTTTAGCAAAATAAGCATCATCCCACCCCTTTTTTTTCTTCCTCTGTGACGCTGCAGGGAAATCACACCTGTGGGCTTCTTTAGTCTTGACAACATTGAGAGAAGCATGTATGGAATCTGATGCCTGACGACCATGAAGGCATGTTAACGCACGGGAGAATCCTTCAGCCTTTTCTCACTCTGGATCTAAAGGATTAATGAAAGACGGAGGACTGATACCAGATTAAGTGGAACATGATGGTGAGAATCAGCTCTTTTTTTAAATATTTATTCTAGAAAAGAGTTAGACCTGAAGGATACATGCCAGAGAGAAATTCTCATTTACATGGGTGTAGCTGGTTTCACCTTGCTTCTCCCTTCACTGTCATTCAGGTATTGGGGTTGACTCACTGTGAGCCATGAAGTGCTGGAATGTAACTAAAAGTACTCATTATGCAGAATATATTACTTCAGAAAAACCCTTTAATATCTCTCGATTGTTAGCATTAGAAATAATTACAATTGAGGTTGTATTTGGTTTTAGTATTTCCATTTTATCCATCCTATACCTCTATCACACTGCAATTTAGAACCTAATTTGCAGGTTACGATTAATGCAACATATAAATAAACTCATGTTTATAATATCACTAGAATTATTTGTATTATTCATCAATGTGACACATTTGCAAATTGTACATCAGAAAAAAAATCTACTTTAAACAATGCTGGGTCATATAACATAACATGTATTTTAGAAAATGGGAAATTCTTCATAATAACTATTTTAGTTTTGGTCCTTCAAGTATATTTTGATTCTCATTCTTGTGTACTTTAAAGATAGTAAGATTTTGAATGAAGGCATTTTATTTGTAGCTGAGTATTTTCACACTGGTAATGTTAGTAAGTACTGCTTGTTCCACCACTGATTGCATGAAATAATAATAATAATAATAATAATAAATTGTATTTATATAGCGCTTTTCTCTGACTCAAGGTCACTTTACAATATAAGGGAACACCATCTAACTGAATAATTACTTGTACTTATTGATATTTGGGCTTTTTTACATTATTAAGTCACAGAATATATTAGCTAATTTATAAAATGGAAACTAGCAGATTCCTTTCAGCAAATATGAGACAATTATTTTAAAAAGGATCAAAATATAGGAACATGTGAATACAGCAGTGCATGTTGGCGCAGATATTGTATAAACAGAATCTGTGTCTTATGAAAGATTTTGAATAACGCTGAGAAGCATTAATTATGCTGCAGGTGAATTTACCTCTGCGCAGTTTCCTGCAGACCTTCCCGTAAGGAATGCTAACTTGTTTTTGTAAACAAGCTAGTTGTCTTGGCAATTCTCACAATGCATTACAATCTTATTGTCGTCTTTGGTTGATGGCCAGTGCTTTGGGTTTCATCAGATAATTACATGTCCTAAGACTAATTCACTTTTTTGCCAACAATTCTCAAGAAGAAATTAAATGTATATTTTTGCATAGTTGGTCACTCACAATATAATTGACCATAGCAATAATAAACAACAATGGTTTAAAAAAGTGGTTTAAAAAAGGTTGCGTCTGAAATCAACACAATGTATAAACTAGAACAACCTCAGCTACAATAGAGCTTTTTCCATTACTTTTTGACAATATGACAATCAGCCACCACAAACAACACCAGGGCTATGAAACTAAACCAGCTATAATGCCTATTACACTTATTTTTAAATGTTTTTATTGATAAACATTATTTATTAATTAATTCACAAAACTTGTATACTATATAAACAAAGACTGGCTTTTTAACCTGGTAAAGGGAGACATCATATTTGTCTAAAGCACAACATCAAGACAACATTTCACCTGTAGAAATATAAAACCATGGATGGCTTGTTTGGCAGCCAATGCTCTTATTCAATTATTCTAATATTAGCCAGTTAATTTCTGTCACTTTTAAACCCATAGCCGCCCAAACCCCCGAGGACAAAGTATTTGATGAAGTCTTCCATCACTGCCTCCTGCGACGCCACACAGCCGACCTACGAAGCACCGATGGTAAACACAGAGTCTGTTGAAACAATGCATCTGAATGCATTAATTGTGGTGTGTCTGCCAAGGCCATTTCCATACTTGAATAATATGTAATTTGTCTACCCAGTGAATCAGAAATTGTATGAGTTCTTTCTTGACACTTCCACCCAGTGTTTCTGGTAAACAAAAGGGTTACAGGAACAGTTAGGAACTGAACTACGGAACATGGTTCTTCCTCATTTCAATGTGATCATGTACAAACGGTTGGTACAAAGGGAATGACAGCACAGTGAAGCAGTGCACTTGGACCATTTTAAAACAAATGATTGGTTGACAAGCTTTGCTCTTGTCTCAATAGTTATAATATTAGACTGTTTTATTTCTGTACCCTATAGGAGCCCAAACCTTCAAGTCCAACGCCCACCCTCACCAGCTCTAATGATGTCCAACAGTCTGTCTATAAAGAACCAGATTCACTATTGGTAAACACAAGTTTATTTTGAAACACTTGTCTATATGAGTGCATTAATTGCTAAATGGTGGTTACTTCAAGGAACCCTAACAGATGAAACCATCCATGTTTGTTACACCTGCGGAGAAGCTGGAGCAGAATCCAAACTCATAAATTAAATTGTTTTGGTTTGGCAGGCTTTCTGGTGATATTATATTAGACCGTTCATTTCTGTCACTTTTAAACCCCATAGGCGCCCAAACCTTCAAGTCCAACATCTACCATCACCAGCTCCAATGACGTCACACAGTCGCCCTACGAAGACGTAAACGTAAACACAAGTTCCTTTTTAAACAGTTGATTGGTGCGTTTACTGGTACTTTTGCACATTACTGAAAAAAACAGCTTGGGATACCACACACAATACAAGAAGGGCACTTCGAGTTGGTTGTTTGGCACTTGGTTATTTGCCAGGCATTGCTATTATCTTAATAGTTCCAATATTAGACCCTTAAATTCTGTAACTATTAAACCCCATAGGCGACCAAACCTACAAGTCCGACGTCCACCATCATCAGCTCTAAACACGTCCCACAGTCGGCCTATGAGGACCTGGATGCACATATGGTAAACTTGAGAACCTTTTTAACAGTAGTTCATCTGAATGCATGAATGGAGTGTGTGGTGTCTGCTGATATTTTTGCACATTACTTAATTCCACTCAATGGATACCATACACAATACTAAAAGGGCATTTGGAAAGGGTTAGGGTTAGGGTAATCTGCTAAGGCCAATTCAATAAGTGAATAATATTCCAGTAACCCACCCAGTTCTTTCTTGGGCCAAGCTACAATCTTGCACCAAGTTTCATGGTTGTTTGACAGACACTGCTTTTATCTTAAAAGTGTTATTCTTATTCTCTTCATTTCTCTCACTATTAAACCCCATAGGCACCCAAACCCTCAAGTCCAAAGTCCACCATCACCAGCTCCTTTGACGTCCCGCAGTCGATCTGCGAAGACTTGGATGCTCCGATGGTAAACACAAGTTCCTGTTTAAAATGTTTCCTTTCTGAATGCATGAATTGCTGAATGCCGTGTCTGGTGATTTTGGAAGTCATTTGTGTTCAGCAAAACTACCGTACAGTAAAGGTGGGGTTGTTCACTTTTTCATTTAACCAACCTGTGACTTAGATCGGCTCAAATATGTAATGAGTTCTTTCTTGGGCCATGCTACACACTTTCACCAAGTTTCATGAAATCCCACCAGTAGTTTGTCCGTCATCCTGCTGAAAACCAACAAACCCAACAGAGAACATGACTTCTTTTAAACCAATGATTGGTTGTTTGAAAGGCTTTGCTTGTATCCTAATAGTTCTAATCGTAGATGGTTCCTTTCTCTCACTATTAAACCCCATAGGAACCCAAACCCTCAAGTCCAAAGTCCACCATCACCGGTTCGTTTGACGTCCCACAAGTTTCTTTAAAAATAGTGGTTCAACTGAATACATGAATTATTGATTTTTGTGTGTGTTTGTGCTTGTATTTTTCTGATGACATTCAGTGTGGTGTAAAAATCCTTGAACCTATGTTTTTTTGTTAGCCTACTGTCACAGATGGAAGCCATTCGGATGTTAATGTCAAGCCTGTACCTCGTCCCAGGTCTAGAATACAACCCAAGTCTGAGCTTAACAACAACAACACTGTTGACTCTTCAGACACAACTAGCGATACAACCGATGCAGTGGTGAGTGCTAATATACTCTCAAAGATTGTCTGATGATTGCTCATAAAATGTAGCATGCATTGATTTGATCATGTTCTTCTACCCTCAGAGTTCCCAACTCAATGAGCGTCCTGCAGACTTTAAGACGCCTGGTCCCGTTCGTCCTCCTCCACGACCGCCGCTGAGCAAATATATGACCTCCAGAAAACCCACAACAGCAGTCTATGAAGGCAATCACTATATGATTTCACAATATGAGCCAAATGTTAGGGTATGTTATATTTTAAACCAAATAATGGTACTTTTTCAATTTTTAAAGCTTGCTACATGTGTGTTGTTGCTATAAATATCACTTGCCTTAAAGGACTAGTTTTTTAGTATTAGTTTTGAGAGTCATTCTGCACCGTTGATGTATATTTGTAACTGCTAAGTTGCCAGTAATAGTATTAATTAAACACTTGAGATATAACACATTAATTAGTGAGCTTTAGATACGCTGGTAGGCCGACTTTGGTACTTTTGAACATAACTCTAACTGTTAGAAATGGGGTGGTATTGATTTTCTCATCCAACTCTCTGCAAAGTAGCTACTGTGCAAAACGTTCAATTATCTCTGCAGTCAATATTTGAAGAAAAAAAAACACAACATAAATGCGTCTTCTTGTTTTTTGACACAGCTAAACTCCTTTTATATACCACTTTTTAAACATGTGTGAACGGGTAACTGGAGTGAATATCAGATATGTTATCTATCTTATCGTCTTGGCTACTTTATCTTAGTTTATTGTTAGCTTTGTTTACTTATTTACAATATTTATATTACTGTATTGCCAGTTTATTTGATTCTCTTTTAACTTTGCTTTCGTGAAACACTTTGTATTTGTGTTTTGCAAGGTGCTTTGCAGATATTATGTAGAATTATTCGAACTTACTTCCTCCTTAATTTCTGTGGTAGACTGCAGCTGTCAGTCCTGAGAGAAAACCACCTTCTCCAGGGCCGGCACGCCCGCCTCCTCCCTGCATCGATTACGCAAGCCGTTCTAAAATGAAGCTACCCTCTGTGAAAAAGGTAAACATAGTTTCAAGTTTCAAGGCTTTTATTGTCATGTGTGCATAGCTACAGTGTAGTTATGACAACGAAAAGCTTAGGTCACAGGCTCCTCCAACAGTGCAACACATAAGATGGATAAAACAGTACAGGTAAATAAAATAAAATAGAATATAATAGAATCAGTGCAGAATGGTCTATATGCAGTAATTGGAATATTGATATGTATAAGTTGCAAACAGATGAATGTTATGGATGTTCTTTCAACAGTCTTATGGCCTGTGGGATGAAACTGTCTTCACATACTTCACCTCCTCCATCGTTTACTGCAACACTTGTTTGGCATCTTACATAAACATCTGAAGGCACCTTTAAATCACCAGTTCATGAATCAAAATGTTGGTTTTTCTGTCTTTTCAATATTTTCTTGGATAGAGCTCAACTGATGAATCCACAAACACCTACATCAGCTTCATACAACCCTCTTCAACTGTTTCTGATGGAGAGGTGAATTCCCGCTGGAGCTCAGCAACCTGCATGATAAGAACAGTTGTAATACATTCAATTATTTGCTTACTTTCACCTGCGTTATGCAAATATAATCGATGTCATTCCAGGTCACATACAGCCCAGACAGACCTGCAGTTCCGCCTCGGATCTGGGCTTCCTCCCTGACTCGCTCTAAGTCGATGCCTGTAACCTCGCCTACACAGGTATGAGAGACACTGCAGGCTACAGGTGATGAGCCTTTTGGACCGGTTCCAAAACAATAACAAAAGGAGCTGAAACACTTGCGTTTGTCATGCAGTCATGGAAAATCAAATGCGTAAGGGTTATTAATGCATTTGACGCTGTTCAGTCTGTGTGGAATGCAGAATCAAAGGAGCCGGTCCAAGTGCAGTTTCTGCTCTTAACAGGAAGTGAGCTCTCCCTTTGGGGCACCTAGTTTATTTTGCATGGGCAGATTATCAAACAATTGGCCCCTGGGAACAGCTATGCAAAAGGTCCCACCACCTCTGGCAATCAGACTGTATATATAAAGGGGGCAATACTATATATTTTGTAATTGTTTTGGTCAATTTGAGGCTCTTTATCATTGTTTTGTGTGTCTTTGTAGTCTTTTGTGGTCATTTTGAGTCTCGCTGTAGGGTTATTACTTACTTAATCCTCTCTGTCCCCTCCTCTGGCATAAGGCCACATGAGCTCTTTCCATTATTTCACCTAAAACTACAACCTTATGGTGACGTTAGAGGGATGGCAGTCGGATTTATTCTTTTGCCTAAATGTCTTTATACCAAACAATGACAGACTGACACAGACAAACAATATCAAACTTATAGAGCAAAGACACTAACATGGCTGAATATTTAGTATTTATTTCCGTAGCAAGATGTTGTTTCTGCAGTTGTGTGAAAGTGTTATTTTTTTCTCTATCTGTACAGACCAGACCACCCCCGCCTTGTTTCACCCCGCCTCCCCCACCTTCAATAAACTCAGATTCGGAGTCGATGTACAGTGAGATCGAGCACTACCTGGACGTCCTGCCAGAGGATGAAGATAAGATAGTAAGAGAAACAACACACACTGTTTCCTTATCTTGTTTAGTTAAGACTTTCCACTTCCATCTCAACCCAGTTGTACATTTAAAAAAAGAATAATCTAGTCAGATAAAGGGGCATGGACCTTTTTACTAAACTCAATATAAACTTGGAGTGTATGTTACTATACAGGATGCATCTGTGCGTGTTGTATAGTGCACATACTGTGTTGACAACTCCTCAGCTCCATAAAGAGTGTATCAATATGTTGTGAATTTAGTCTCCTGTTGTCCGGATTTTATTTTTCTATAATTATTGATTTACATAATCTTACAGGATATTCTCCTGGTTAAAGATAGGAAAAGAAAGAAGTAAATACAATGGCGAAAAGGGTAACATTTGGCTCTATATCTTTGTGTGTTGATGTGTGTATGTGCTGTGTGTGAGCTACCTGTGGGGCTCTGAGCCGATACAGTGCTCGCAGCAACAGAGTCACATCGTCCTGTGCTCCCACTCCCACTGGAGGAAGGAGAGGGGCGAGGGACTGTGCGCCACTGCGAAACCTGAACATGGACACACACACACACACACACACACACACACACACACACACACACACACACACACACACACACACACACACACACACACACACACACACACACACACACACACACACACACACACACACACACACACACACACGCTTTCATTTATTTCTGATCCATTAATCTCTGTTTGTTTAACACTTGTAGACTGTGACTTCAGACAGGCCAACGTTTCGCTACCAGAGTGGCATCTCCACTTCTCGTCAACCGTCCACAGACGACAAAGAGGTACGCTTTTCTAAATGGATCACTTGCTCCTCTCCTTAACCTCAAACTAAATGTTTTTTTTAATGAAAAACTCATCTGTTTTTCACAGGACATTATCGGGATGTGTAGATGGTTGAAAAGAGTCTCAAGTAAGTGCAACATATTGTTTTCTAGATAGACATTCTGGCATTTTCTTGAAGACTTAAGAGGCAATATTAATTTATATAGTTTATACAGTATAGTGTCTATATTCTTTGGGAAAGAAATGTCCAATAAATAAATAAATAAAAACCATGCAGTAAGTGAGCTCAGTGACAAAGAGCACGATCAAAGTGGGGCACAACAAATCATTAATTTAAATTATAATGATCTTTCTTTTTCTCACAACACCTTGATAGTTCATTGGTTGAAATCTAAAATAGTTCAAAGATCCCGTTTCCAATTTGAGCAATGTTATCTTTTTCTAAATATCAGTATCAGTAAGTAACCATTTTACAGTATGTAAATAAATGTGGCCCATTTATGCATTAATAATGAAACACTCCACTCCAAACTCCGATTTCTGTGTTTATTTTGCAAAATGCTCTTTAAATTAGCCCTTTTTTCTTTGATATTTTTTTTGGTTCTGATACAGTGCAATGTGGCAATGTTTTGCAAGAAGGACACATGAGGGGTTCATGGTATACAGTGTTTGCGATACATTGATTTTTTTTATTTTTACTTTTTATTTTGGTGGTCTAATAGATAGTGAGGTGGGCTGATGACCGGAAGGTTGCGAGTTCAAATCCCGCTGGAACACCACTACTAGTGTGCCCTTAGCCCTCAGTTACTCCAGGGAGAATGTCCCTGTAATTGGTAATTGTAAATCGCTTTGGAATAAGGCGTCTGCTAAATGCCTAAATTGTAAATTATATTTTTGGGAGAATAAACCCCACAGATCCTCAACTCCGGTGTGTCTCACTCATTAAGCAACAACACAGAACAACAAGAACGTTATCTACAGTAGCCATGAACTCGCATGTATTTTCTTATTTGAGGGGGGGGGGGGGTGTGAATCAAATTCTGTGGGAAACACTGGCATATATATTCTCTATCTTGTAGAGGTCCTCTGATCTAATGTATCTCTGTTCTGTCACTCCAACAGAATCTGACTGCATGGCTCCGTCACTGTATGGCCTCAGTATAGAGGAGGAAATCAGGTAGACACACAGATCAATCCCTTCTTTGCAGTAACAACATCATTTTGGTGCAATGATCTCCATTATACAATATTTATGGAAACTTAACGTGTAGTTTTTACTTTTTCTGATTAAAATAAGGAAAGTTAGAGGAATAATTTGAAACAACTTAACTTCTAATTGACAACATGACCTTTTGCATAACATTGTAGGCTAACGTAATAATCGAGGTTAAAAGGCTAATACATCACATTTAAAGGTTGAGGTAGATTGGAATCAGAATATCAAATAAATAAAAGAAAATTCAATAAAAACATGTATGTGAAAATAGGAAATTAAGTAAAAATAGCAGGAAAAGATAAAAAATACATTAAAATGTAATTAAAAGAAAATATTTATAAAAACATCAGACGTGAAATACAATTTTTCTTTTACAATGAAAGATAACAATATTTATGGAAAAAATTAAACATAAGAAGTATACGTGTAAAGTATATACAGTGCAAACATATTTATTTCGCTGTCGCTGTGCAGGTCATTCAACGAGAGAGCGATGAATGTGAAAAAGGCCCTGCGTCTCTACAACCTCCTGATGATGAAACGCAGCGACTGCATGAAGAACATCATCACAGAGTTCAGCACCATCTCAGAGAGCATGGACAAGATGCGGAAGAAAACCAAAACCATGGACATCGCCGGAGGAACCACGGGCGCTGTGGGAGGAGTGACCGCGGTCCTGGGCATCGCCTTCGCTCCGATGACCTTGGGGGCCTCGCTGATCGCTACAGCTGTTGGAGCCGGCATGTTGGCGTCCGCTGGAGGCATGGGGGCCCACACTGCAAAGACCAACAAGAAGAAGGTGGTGAACAGGATGACAGTGGAGAAACTAGTGTACAACTACAAGGAAAATGTGGTCGAGCCGGAGCTTTGTCTGGGTTTTATCCTCTCTGGGATGAACGAGCTACGGAGGCACGATATCGCCAGGATTCAGAGGGCCGGAGCCCAGACTGACGCTCTGAAAGTGGCACATCTGGCACAGACGGTGTTTAACATGAACTACGATAGGAGGTTGTCGGTTCCACACACGGGAGGGATGGCATCTGAGAGACTGCTGCTGGCGTTTGCAAAAGATATGGATCTGTATTTCACAGAGAAGGAAGGGCAGAAGCTGAAGAAGTCCATTAAGAGCAAGTTTTCCGGTAGAGTTCGTCTGCTGTCGGAAAATCTGCAGGAGGAACTGAACCAGATGATTCGCCTCTGGGAGAAGTTTGGTTGAATCAAAATACTGTGTGTGTGTGTGTGTGTGTGTGTGTGTGTGTGTGTGTGTGTGTGTGTGTGTGTGTGTGTGTGTGTGTGTGTGTGTGTGTGTGTGTGTGTGTGTGTGTGTGTGTGTGTGTGTGTGTGTGTGTGTGTGTGTGTGTGTGTGTGTGAGAGAGAGAGAGAAAGTTGAATTGTGTAACTGGAGAAGACATGCCTTATTTAGTTTATTTTTGTCCTATCGGTTTTGTCTAAATGTATTTATGCTGCTTTTTGAAATATATTTATTGATGTACAGTACTTTTGTCAACTCTGTGGTTTTTAAATGTGCTATATAAATAAAATTGGATTGGATTGGATTTACTAATTATATTTTAATAAACATTTAATATATTTATTTTTATCGTGTTGTCTGCAATTATTATCTTGTAATGCACTTTGTCACTTAGTTTTAACAATAAGTTAACAACAAGTTTTGCCATAACAATAGATTATTATCATATTTAAAACATATTATTTTAATCAGAAGACTACATTTGCACGACTAGTAAAACCCATTTAAATCAGGTGTCATAGCGGCAGCAGCAGCAGCAGCAGCAATAAGAGACAATAACAGGATAGGGCAGCTAAGTGTACATGTATGGTACACAAAGGAATATAAGAATATACAAAATAAGTACAAATAAGTACAATTATTGTATAAAGTACAACAATATAATATATAGACTCAGACATATATTCAGATATATAGAATATACATACAAATATATGTATTTTTTACTGTGTATATACATTTTTAAATTCTAATGATTATTTTAATTTTCATTATTTTTGTGTCTATCCATCTAGAAAGAGGTATATCTGATAAATATAAACGGATGTGAATAATTATTAATATGATAAATATATATAAACGTTTATGCGAGTTACATTACAATATCCTAAAACACAACCAGTAATACCTGTACCAGGGATTACTTTTTCGGACGGCAGCAAAGAACTCAAGGAATGTGGAAGACAAACAGACTGGCGGAGTGATATCGTCTGCAATGCGGAAGGATACGGCCAGTCCTCGCTTGAAGTATATATGCACAGCCGCACGACCTACGCCATTTTCCCTTCAGAGAAACAACAAACATTAACATCGTCGATCATCGCTACCTCTGGCGAAATGGCAGCGTGAAAGTGTGCCGCGACCTAGCAGCAGCCAACAAACAGTGCATCCAACAAGTGCACTAAGTCACTTCAAATTCAGCAAACATGTCGTAAGTATTATTTTATTATTATTAAGTAATATTTGGTCGATGACAGCTGTCCGGCCTAGCGTGGCCGCGCCTCGAGAGCGTGACGTTCCCGCGGGCGCGACATTGTATCACATTTCAATTAAGATTATTTTTGACACTTCAAACTAAGATTTACTTTATCTAAATCGTCGAATTGCTAGCTAGATAATGGTATTATCTACCGGGCTGACGCAAAACCTCACATGAGTTAAAGTTACATTTTGTTCCTTAAACACAGTAATTAGACCATTTTATCCAATCTAATCAAACGACAGCTTTGATACATTTGTTAAATATAATCAGTGTTATTGTCATGGGTGGCAACCATGGAGGTGGCAACGTGGCAGCTGGCAAAGTGGTTCATTTCCTCTTTGTGTGTTAAAATGGCGGCTTGTGAAGGCGTATAAGGACAAAAGTGTGGCTGCTTATAAAGAGGGAGGGTGACGTCATGTGAGGAGACAGGCTGACGTCAGAGTCACAAGACTGGGAGCAGAGTGGGAGCGCGTGATGTGAAGCACTGCAGGGGGGGGCGGTGTTAAGCCAAAATGGGATCAGAATCATTATTTTTTTAAACATGACACTATATTATTAATACTAGTATTATTTACCCATAATATTTATATTGTTGACACTTTGAAATCTGAATAATCACATTTTTAGACAAGCTATTTTTTTTAGCTTTTTCTAAGTTACTGTAATGTTTTGCCCTTATTATTATTATTTTTTTTTAATAATAATATAACTTTAATATATATTTTTTTGGCCAGAGTGCCTTTTATTGGAGATGAAGAGTTGAAAGGGGGAGATAGAAGGGATGACATTGCCTGAAATGTTCGGCGCTCTCAGGAGTCCAACCCTCTTACTTGACAGCGGACACCTCTAGATAGGCTTTATTAATAACTTCATTATGTTTCTAATGATCTGATTTTCACCCACAAATGTCTTCTCTTCCCCATCCCCAGGTCCTTCTTGGAAACCCTCACCACTGCTGCTTACAACAGCATAAAAGACTTCAAACCCTTCCTATCACGGTCCCCTCTCGTGACCAACAACAGCCACTATGACCACGATGATGACAAACTCACTGTTTGGCCTGGAAGACATGGAGGCCCTTCTCTGGGCTCCTTCCTCTCCCATGGCTGACCTCATCACCTTCCCCTCTTCACGCCCTGACCTCACAGATCAACAGGAAGAAGGAGGACGAGGAGGAACCTCATTGGTTGGGGACACGTCACCTGTGTCGCCCCTCACCTCCTCATCGCTGTCCACTTCCTCCTCCCCTCCTCCATTTTATTCCCCTCCTCCCTCGCCGTCCTCCCTCCTCCTGCAGGGGGACAAAGATGGGATGGAGTCTGACCTGCTGTCCCTCCCCTGGTTGGGCCACACCGGTCACCTGAGACAGAACTCAGTCTCAGATGACATAAAAGGTAATAATAGACATTAAAAAAAGCCTTATGTGTATAGGACTTTTCATACACAGGATGCAGCTCAAAGTGATTAAGCACACAACATAAGACGGACAGAAAATAAGGCTCTCAATTAGGGCTGCTCAATTAATCGTATTTTAATCGCAATTACGATTTTGGCTTGCAACGATTATGAAAACAACATAATTGAAATAAAACGATTTTTTATTATTTTATTTATTATTTATTTAAAAATCTTTTTTTGAATTATTATTATTTTTTTTTAAATTATTATTTTTTTTATTTTTTCATTTGAATTATACTTAAAGTTCATGGTAATCAACTGTTAAAAACATACTGTTCAAATAAATTGATGTTTTCAAAGTAAATGGATAATCGTTTTTAATAATCGTGATATCAATTATTGACCCAAATAATGGAGATTATGATTTTTGCCGTAATCGAGCAGCTCTACTCTCAATTGTCAAATATTAAGACCTATTAGGAAACATCCAGCATATACATGATAACATTTGACTTTATTGGGATAGAAAGGTAAAAAAAGAATATAATAACTGCAATGAAACAATACAAAAGTTAACATCCTTTTGCTAATTAAAAGCAAAAAATGTTGGTTTTTAGCCGTTGTTAATCCCCTGCCTTCTCTGCCCCCACAGAGGATGTGTTCGGTGACTTCGACTGGATGGCAGAGAGGGTGGATCTGAGCGATTTCGACCTGGATTCTCTGATCCCCGACGAAGACTCCCCCAGCTGCTCAGAAGACCTCCTCGCCTCCCTTGACTGCCCCATGGAGCTTGACTCCCTCCCACTGCCCACTCTCTCAAATCTCCCCTCTGCTTCTCTTCCAAGTATCCCTCCTCCCCCCACTGTGTGCTCAGATCCTCCCGTTGTTATTACACTGGATGAGCCTGAATGCTACTTCGATGACCAGGACGTTCCCCTGTGCGTCCCGGAGCTGGAAATCAAATCCGAGCCCGCATCTCCAGATCCTGCGTCCCCATTGGTCGATTCTCCGTCCTCCCCGGCCTACACCTTAGATTTGGGCAGTGAAGTGGACGTTTCGGAGTGCGAGATGAAGCCGATGGTGGCTCCAGTCATCCCTCAAGTCGCCAGGATAGTGTTCTCCCTGTCCCCCACCCGAATCCTTCTTGTTTTGGCCCCCAAACAGGAAATCGGCATCACCACTGTAACCGCCACGTCGCAGATCGTTCATTCCTCCTCCTCCCCTCCGCCAAAACCCTCCCCCAGAAGCAGACCCTACCCAGAGCCTGCATGTAGAACCAGCCCACCGCCGTCTCCCAGCGTCAAAGTCAAGCCACAAGGTCGGGAAGGTGACGAAAAGACGTCCTTTAAAGCACCGAAGGCGAGGAAAATGAAGAAGATGGAGCAGAATAAGACTGCTGCCACGCGGTACCGGCAGAAGAAGAGGAGCGAGCAGGAAACGCAGTCTGAGGAGCACACACGTCTGGAGAGGAAGAACATGGAGCTGACGGAGAAAGCCGAATCCATGGCCCGGGAGATCGAGTACCTGAAGGAGCTGATGGAGGAGGTGCGAACGGCAAGGGGCAAAAAAGATGACCCCTAGTGACCGGTAGATGAAGTGTGTGTGAGAGAAAGTGACTATGAGAAAGTGGGCTTACATACTTTTTAAGAATGAGCATCAGTGAGGCATGTGTTCTGTCCGTACAGTATGGACACACCTCCTTTTTAATACACTGGTATTAAATATAAACGATAGAGTATGGAAACAAGTATTTTCCATTCAGTATATCAACTTGTGTGTTTTTTGTAATGTATGTATTCTATTTCTGGACCCTACAAGCCTGCCAGTAAGATGTATTTTAAATAATGATGTATTATAGTGAAATTGGACCATCTCTTAATAAAGAGTCTTAAACGTAATTCAGTCTTTTGGTGTGATTTCAATAATTGTGTTTATACTATACTATTAATGCTACATGAATTCTACATGCGTCACAATACATGAATGCTAGTTTATATGGCATGAACAGAAGGTTTAACATGCAAGCAATTGGGTGTGGTTAATAGTGGTGCATACAACTAAGTATGAGGGAATAAGAAAAGGAGCAAAAATAGAACTATTATAAAAAGACAATATTTGTTTAAGTATTATTATTATTATTATATAAGAGAAGTATTTACACGGAATATAAAAATAAATAAAAACAGTGAAAATACGACAAATAAAACACATTAAAATAAAACCAAGATTACATGACAGTGCAGAATCATGTTTATACCTGAGAAGCATTTGGTGCATACATAAGCACAGTAAGAGGAATAAGGTTTAATTTACAACCTATTTTACCTGGCATATATTTAAGCATCCAATTAAAAAATAAGGTATAAAATGAAGGAAACACATTTCAAGAGACTTATCATTGCACTGATATGTGTGTAAATGTTTGGCCTTTTATAATAAGACCTCAGAGTTTCATTATTCTGCTACATTTTCATGATAACTGAGTGATTCTGATGGGGACACCAAAGTGACTTTATAGTGATATTGACCCAGATGTGAGCGTCCTTAACAACGGTCAATAAGTCCTTGCTGCACATTATCCCTTACATGTTTTCATCTTAAGCTTTGTTAGTTAGTTAGTTTCGTAACGGACGTAATGTAACAGTTGTAACGGTTGTAGCTTTTCTCAGACGTGGAGGGATACTGACTTGTTGTGAAAAGTAACTACAATTCTACCCGTGATATACGCTCATTATATCACGGCTAAGAACCAATCAGATTGCTTGATTTGACTTGTCCGTTTTATAAAAATACATAACAGTGCAGGTGATTTGTAGGCGATCTATGCAATTCACCTTAGTTTAGGTTGAGTTTTGCATGGGTTTCAGTCTTTAGAGTTTAACCCTGCCTCCAACAAAGAGTTTTTGTTCCCGATCTGATAACACATAACAATGGACCTGTGGCTGTCCATCTGAGTGGAGCCTCTAGAGGATAATGAAGCCCGCCTGACCAACAGCGTGCTGCAGGCCCATGGATTCAATCACTGACAGTCATGTGAGGTCAATGCAACACAGAAACACGAAGCCCTTCTTTTGCACTAACAATGCCAGTTTGTGTGTCATGGAAATGGTGATATTATAGCTTAAATAAAGTGTAATCTTCATAAAATGTCATTTTTAATAATAGGTATCCTAAGGTAGTGTATCCTTAGAGATGACAGATGTTTTGTGTGAGGGAGAGAAACTCCCTCTGGATGGTGTCGTGTCATGGTTAAGGACGAGGGGGGTTTTATGGTGTAATGGTGGGGATGTTTAGATGATGCCTAAGGGCAGGGGCGGACTGGGACTACAAATCAGCCCACTCTCGACCGGCCACTTCGGTACCGCCGGCCCACCTCGGTAAATGATCATCAACGGGGGTGGGTGGGGGGTGCTAGTGAGTTATCCGAGCGGCCCACCTCGGTGCCGCAAGTAAATACCACGAGGAAATTGTCGACGGGGGGGGGGGGGGGGGGGGGGGTGCTAGTGACTTATCCGAGCGGCCCACATCATCCGACCGGCCCACTTCAGTACCGGCCCATTGGGATTCGTCCTGAACGTCCCGATGGCCAGTCCGCCCCTGCCTAAGGGAATTTAAGGGTGGGACCAGTTGGCTTTTCTCTCCTATATAGTGTGACTGTAAGCTGTGTTCTGGGTGCAGAACTTCTCTATCCTCTGAGGAGGAAGTAGCTCTGTTCCTACATTTGGGATCGATTTCACTTGTATATTGACTTCCTTTATTGTCCATGAATCATTTATCAGTTTCTCTTAAGAATTTCCTCCACAGAGGGAACTTTGCAGACCATTTCCATGAACAAAAACTACACTACTGGAAAGGGAAACCCCCCAATAGCGCCCCATGTTTTTGAGCTTATGTTATCCAAAGCCACTTATATACACTTCAAATTTGAGGATATACCTACGGGAGAAATTTGGGGTTAAGTATCTTGCCCAAGGACACTTCCACCGCTGACCCTCTGATATCTAATGGGCTAAACTATGCAGAACATTAAATGAGGGTGTGTTGAATGGGAAAAAGTCCAATCCTTTTGCTGATGAAACGCAGTCCCACCAGTTTCAGATAAAATGTCTTTGAATGTGATTTCTCCCTCTGCTGATATTTATTTCGAAGAGACCAGAAGTGCATAATGTGTGCTTAAAACACTTCATTTGTCAAAGTCTGTGGGAGAATAGGATAGTCAGTGAGAGAGGGATAAAGAGAGTGCTGACCTCGGCACAGCTTGTATAATAATACCCAAAAGAAAGTGTGTGTGTGTGTGTGTGTGTGTTCAGCCAACAACAGACCCGGCTGTGCACACTGTAATTGGTCCAGGCTTTCTTCCAGATAGCTTAGAGACGATCTTTATCTGGAGGAAGGCCAAAGTCAAGATGGTGCAGAGCTACTTACAATGGGATAAACATTTCCTCCAGAACAAAACAAAACAATCTTGGCTAACTGTAAATACTTTCTCTGTAAATGCCTTCATTTTTCATGGGAACCTTTTGGCTTCAGATGACCTATAACATTAAGCATCACAGTAAACATAAGGCTTAGTAGTAATTTAGTAAACCATTGTATTATGTTTACCTTCCACTCTCCATTGTTGTATTTGAGAGAAAGAAGGTTGGATCAAGATGAATACACTCTGAACTACATATTCACAAAAGGCCACATCCTTTTTCCTCATTTAAAGTTGGTTAAAACATGATGACATATAATACAAGACAAGATCAACAAACCTGTACAGATTACAGCATATTATGCCTACTGTGTCCTAACATGTTTGGCAAGGTATACGCTAAATGTATTTGTTTAACCTGTTAAACCCCATCCCTGTTTTTCAGGTCTCAGACTCGAAAATGACATTTCCAGAACAAATGACCATAACTACACTTCTAAAAAGGGGAACATTTATAATCTTTTTTCTCAAAGTAATGATAAACCTGTGAGTTGGATGTAGAAGAGTCAGAATCAATATAGATGTTTTTTATTTTAAAGAAAATTCAGATTGAACATAGTAAAAAACTGTAAGTGATAGTGTCCGTCCAAATATTCTTTTTTACTTATAGTGAAAACCACCCTTGAATGATGGGTTGGTAGACTAAAAGCTTTAGGAATCCAAAGTACAACATATAATAAGTACCCTGTATCAAGATTGATGCAAAACAAGTGACATTTGACCTTTTTAGAGAGATTTAGCAAAGAAAACTCCACCTCTGGGGTGATTTGGGTGGAAATGGGCGTTTTTGATGATTGACATCTCTTTTGAACCGTTAGAGCGAATAGAATCGAAGGGGAATTTCCACATACACACCAACGTTACCAAAAAAAAGTGGGGGCTTCGCGCATGCAGTTGGCCGTAAACCGAAACCTATCTCACGCTCTGAAATCTGAAACCGGAAAAGTAGGTTTATTGCTTATGGATTATCAAAAATCATTTCAAAGTGACACACAGACACATTGGATTAACCTATGGATTAACTTTTTATCGTTTTAATGCCATTGAAGACAACTTTTGATCAGACAACAACGAAGGTAAGAGATATTGTCGTTTTTGCTACCTAGCGCCACGTGTTATGTCTGTTTTTGTTGTTTATTATGTTGCGAGTTCTTATCATGGAGTGATGATATATTATATACCTGTCGATTCTGTGTCTTCTCACGATGCTAATTGAGGGGTTGGATGTGCAGTTACGATAAGTAATAAGGGTGTTATGAGTGAGTTTCTGTGCAAACGCCGTTAGCATTTTTTTGGCTCGTGGCTAATTCAGAGGGTCAGCGTTAGCTTTGTGATTTTTTTGCAAAAAAAAAAAAAGATCAGTTAGCTGAGTTTCTTCCCGTTACATGGATATGAAACATTCATAGTTTATTAAATATTAAGAAGTCGATTTCTTCTTGTCATCGATGACGTCACTGGCCAAAAACGATACAAGCCTCGATACACACGCTTCACAAAAACTTCCTGGATTACTGAAACCGAGCTCTGAAGCCTCAGCGCAGTATCATCACAACCTGCTCAACCCTGACAGGATGTCGTTAATCGGCTAATGTTCCTGTACAAAACGATACAGAGATTTCTATAATGTCAGTTTTATAGCTTTGAAAAAGGCCAAGACATGGCAAAGACAGACTAGGTAAGGCATGTTTTTATCCTAGCCAAAACCCCGGTTTGCTCCTGAAGCAGTTGTTAATCACGAGGCCCCTACTTACCGGCTAGGAGTGAGGAGTCAGCATCAATTACGGTATTATATAAAAAGGCAATAAAAAAGGTTTTCAAAAATCACACAACCATAACAGGCCCTTGGATATAAAATCATAAATATGACTGAAATATATTGGGCTAATGGGAGCTGTTAAATGGGAGATTAGCTTCACACATGACCGAGCACCTGAAGAATATAAGAAAGATAGAGGAGATAAGATAAAAATCTCAAAACACACAACATTATATATATCCATATCTTTTATTGTCTGAGGATGAGCAAAACACTGATGTTGCAATCACCATTTAGGAAGGACAACACAGGAAGTAACATCACTTTGGCCACAGTAAAGTGGTAGAACTTACACAGTGTAAAATGCTTCGCAAAAAGCCGCACAACATAACATGTTTTACACTGTAAATATCCACGGCATATACAATATATTCACAGGTGAGGTGGGACTCTAAGACTCCAAATGAATGTTTTCCTCATATCAAATTGTAAAGTCATGCTAGACACACAAAGTGCTGCGGTAGCCTACATCACTAGATGAAGCACAGAGTCAGTAAAGCACAGGGAAAGCAGTGTCAGGGTTTTTTTTTTATATTTAGACTACACCATTTGTAGAAAAAAACATTTTACAGCATGGCAGTGGTATCGGTCACATATTATATATACGGTTTTATTTGTACCTTTCAGAGTGTGAATTTTCTTTCGTCCACTTTTATCTTTTTTATTTTGCTGTAGAGGGATGTAATGACACGCCAGAAATTCACATAGATTTAGCAAGAGTCAGAGGAATACGAAGTGAGGTTGCCTTCAACTCTATAGGCACCCAGTTATCTGCATGCATTGTCTTAACATGCCGCTGAGAGCTGAGTATATATCATTTTTTTTTTTTTTCAAAACATCACTTTTTTTAGATGTCTCACTGATGTAGAAAAAGGTAGTAAAAGCCCTATGTGAGCTCAAATGGTTCATGAGGTTATGTTGTTTCTGTAGCATGCGAAAGCTTGATGAAGCCTATAGGATACTGCCCTGCCGCATGGCTGCACAGTACTCCCACTCTCCCGCTTTGATGCTGAGGCACGTAGCTGAATCTGCCTTGTCGATAAATGTATTGGACGCAGGATGACCAAAAAACAGTGAAGCAGAGCCAGCCCAAAGTTGCTCCGCAGGGATCTGAGACTGCACACAGTTTCAATTCAGCCTCTCCTGGAACTGTCCAGCATGAACGCTACAGCAGAGGTGGGCTCAGAGTGATTTACGAAGATGGAATATTGTTTTTTCCAAGAACCAAAGGAACCAATTACAACCTAAGCGCAAACACAGACTCTCTTTTACTTCCAGCAAACTACAGCAGATACTCAGAGAAAAGACTCCACTCTGAATTAATATGTGACTTACGTCTGCAGTTTTGCGTTTAGCGTTAATCAGCGTTTCTGTAAATGTACCAGATTTTGCCCTGGAGGAAGCAATTTAACCCTGACTCCCTGAGCAGAAACTAATCAAATGTTAATGATCACATTTGTAATATTGCTTATGTCTAAATCCCTTAGTTTTTTCTTCTATTCAAAATGTAAATTCCAGTAAACATTTGAATTTTTTGTCACACTGTTCTTTTTTTCGGATTTATATTCTTTCGTCCTCTTTCACTCAAACCATTTCCATTGAACCCTTTTTGATTCAAACTAATTCAAAGTGAATGACACTAATGGCACTTGATGTAGAAAGGGGTAACTAGTGTGAAATATATGTAGCGTTAACTACCTTGATGCGGTTCGTCTGGGTCTGTCTATTGACGGACCCAGACGAACCGCGGTTATTTCTGGTATGCACCTTTCAAACCAATTACAGGTAGCGTACCTTTATGTGCAATTTCATTGGATAAAAAAACATTTTATTTCCTGTTTTGATGACTGGTAAACAAGTAGCCTATTTTCGCATTTACTACCGCTGAATTTGATGAATATACTGTTTGTCTGACCACAAATTACACATAATTAGCTAGCTAGCGCAACCCGGTAAACTGCCAGAAAGAAAGTCGTTCTCTGCTCCGTAGTTTTTTAGCGCATGAAGTGACGGATGGACCGCTTACAACCCAGCAGACAGTTTGACCCATTTTATGTAGCCAGATTAGCGTGAAAGCTCAGTTGAATTAGCAAAACCAGCTAGCTTACTACACAGCCATTACATTAGTACAATTTACCAAAGTGATACTTTAGCTAGCTAGCGCAAAACGGTAGGAAACTGCCCGAAGGTTAGCAGTCAGCTGCTCCATAGTTTCCTATCGCATGAGGTGACGTATTAACCGTTTACAATCCACCCCACTGTTGGCTCATTATCTGAAGCCAGAGACGCATGAAAGCATGGTGAAATTAGCAAAACCAGCTAGCTAACTACAAAGCCTCTAAATTAGTAAAATGTACCAAATTGATACTTAAGCCACATAGTCTAGTCACAGCATAGAGTACGTCACACAGTCAAGGCAACTGTATGAACAATTCGAATACAACCTTTACATCACCTTTTAACAACTTCTGGACTGTTTGAGTTTCGCCTTTGTGGACGCTAACTGACCTTTTAGAAGTTTGAAACAATGGCTTATCCTTGCAATGGTTTGATTGAGGAGCTAGGCCTTTAGGTGCAAACCCTCTCTTAGTCTTTCAACAACCAAAAGAGTCAAACTTAGTGCAGACATTAGTCCTACTGCCAAATCTTAGTGGTCATGATAATATTGTCTTTTTGGCTTTGATTTACTTGTATCAGTTGAATCTGAGGACATAGTTGGGATTATGAGTAATTCTTTATTCTGCAGTGTTGAAACAGGGTCTCTTAAGCAGCAGCAAATATCTGTGTACATGCTTGCGGACAGGGATCAGGCTCTGGTCCCTTGAAGCAGAAGCTGAATATTTCTCCTCCTCTTGGTTTGAGGAGATTTTGCACTTTCAGTCCGGGTAGAGCTTTTACTTAGCGATCAATTCAGTCTTTGTAACAAAAGAGCTACTATTGAGGAGACTCCCCGTTCCAAGCCATTTGTTTTCCCTTAAACTCTTTGGAATTGGAGTAGGATATCGAGATGAGGTTTAAGTTACGTGAGGTGGTGTTTGGGCCTGTTGGAGACTTTCCACTTTCCATTGAGTGCGATGGTATCACTGCACCTGGCATCCTCGACAGTCGTCCTCAGGCTCCGTGTTGTCAGAGGAGTAAGAGCTCTCCTCACTCACTGTCAAACACAAGACGAATAATTAGAACAATATATAATAAGACTGTTTCAGTGATTAGACACAACCTTTAGACATTAACACAAATTGTTTAACTTACACCACTCGGTCTGTATGGGGAGGAAGGCCTTGTCCCCGTTTTCTCTGATCATCTCCTCCATCTTATCCAGTAGGACTGACACACTCCTGTCCTTGCCAGGAATCTTACTGTCCAGGACGTGGTAATAGTTCCCGCAGAATTCAAGTAGTCTTTGCAGCTCCCGCCCGCCTCTAAGAATGTGCTCCTCTATGGGCGTGCGGCCAAGCCAATCACCACAACTGAACAGCACCATGGTGTGGAGGCACGCATTGTCCCCAAACAGAGTCTCTATGTGGGATAGGAGTGTCCGCCTCTTCCTGGCGGTGAGGGACGATACGACGGGAAGCACCAGCAGCAGGGTGTGGGGTCCGGGTCGCAGGAGGGCAGCTCCGCGCTGGGACTCCTGCCGGATGCGCTTCGGGGTTCGCCTCACCGAGAACCAGTCCCAGCCGGGGGTGTCGACGATTGTGATCCGACGGCCGGACACGAGAGCCTGCCTCCTCAAGCACAGCTCTGTCTCCTGACCCGACTCAAAGTACCGACGGCCCAGGATGGAGTTTCCAACCGAACTCTTTCCAACGCCCTTCCAGCCCAACAAGAGCAGTCTTAACTCTGTAAGACCAGAAAGACAGACAAAGAAAGAGTGGAATATTGAGCAAGAGATAGCGGGAAAAACAACATGAGATAATGAGAAATTGTCTAACTGTAAATCAAGAAATCTCTGTCAGTCTTTGTGAGTTTGTGTGCTTCGCATATCTTTAGAACCGCTCATCCGATCCACTTCACACTTTGCAGAGTTTTGCGTGGGATCAAAGGAAGTGCCATTGAATGCTGTTCAATTTGGTGATGATTGCAATATAACAACTTTGTTGTTTGGCCTGTAACGTTTGAACCACAAGTCAAAGTCAAATTGTTTTCTTTTTTTCCCCTGGGTTCGTTGGGACTATAAACTGTACATGAGTAGTGGATGTAGTCCCTGTGATGTCACCCATTGGCCTTTGTAATAGAAAAATATTATACTCACTTACTTTAATAATATCATTGTGTGATTCTTATTTGCTAATGTTTATCTATATTTAGCTAAGCTTGGGAACATTCCTTATTGAGATGATTTGTTGCAATGTTGTTAGTTACACTCTATGTGTACCCACAGTATGACCTTCAACTCAGTTGAACTGAGAACTTCCTGATATGGCCTCCCTAACTCCCTAAACTTCCAGAATGCTCTTTTCATTATCACCAAGCTTTACCCCTCCCTTTCTCCTCTCTCTGTGTTTAAATATGCAACCCAAACTCTATTCTTCGTCTTTCACTCTGCAGACTGTATGCTCTCCGTATGACTGACTGAACTTTCTTGCAAGAAATAAAATACGACAAAGACAGCTGAATGGTTTGATTCTCTATCCACATTTGATAAATACATTCCCACCACAGCCTTTGACTTATGGAGCACATTTCAAACAAAATACATTTTAAGGTCACTTAAATCTTGCAATTACTTTTGTGAACTGAACACACACTGTGAAAGGGTTAAAGTTGTGGAAAACACGGACAACACCCAAACACTTCTATGCCCTGTAGTAGCAACCTGTCAATCTTTGCTACTACTCCAACCAAAGTTCAGCATTATCACCATATTTAGTATGGAACATAACAAATATATACCGAAAACATTCCAAATTAGGTCCCATTTGGCCCATAGTTGGCGTTGTAGCAGCATCTTTCATTATAAAGGTCTGTCTATGTACATATGTATGATTGTCCTCAGAATGTCTCAAGAACCATTGATCCAATCAACTTCACACTTGACATTGTTTTGCTGAGGACCCAAGGGATTCAGTGTCGATTTTGAAGTCTATTGGATGAACGTTTCTCAAAATTGCTGTGATAAGCACTTCCAGGGGCTGAGTAATTGGCCTGTGTGGTACAGGCATGCACTACTCATGGCCTCCCTCCAACTGACCACTGCATTAGTTAGGAATAAAGAGAGAAATATTGATTGATAATGAGTAAGCGGTTTCCTGGAACACCAATACTGGAGTTTTGTTTTCTCTGGAGCAGCATTATGACACGTGCACTCATCTGTCTACTTCTCCGCATGACTAACTCACTTGCACAAATGAATACACTCTGACACACACAACCCCCTCATACCTCTGGGAGGTCCTCCGATCATCTGATCCCTCTGCCTCGCATGTTCCTCCATCCTCATCGTCTCCTCCTCCAGAGCTCGTCGGGCCTGCTCTTCCTCCAGTAAAATCAACTCGTTCACCTCAAAGTACCAGCCTGCGTGGCAGCAACAATACATTATCCACTGTTCGCCCATTAATAATGCAAAACCTACTTAATATTAATGTCAAAACAAACCTTGGTTGTCAGTGATCATTTCCTCAACCTTTTCCATCAGCTCGGGAACCTGCGTGTTGTCTTCGGTTTCTTTACGAGTGTTATCAAAGGCATGATACCTGCAGGTGGAAAAAAACGTGTTTTTAAAGAGACCCTGAACCAATTTTCCACATTAAGTTCACTTTACTCATCATGATGGGTCCTACTCATGAAATAAACAGTAATTTTCACTTTCAGTGGGCGTAGAGCTTTAACTTAGCAATCAGTTCGGTCTTCGTAAACAAAAAATCTCCCATGACTAGACTCTCTGTTCCAAGAGATTTGTTTTCCCTTTAGATTCTTTAGAACTGGTAGGTGGTGTTTGTTTGGACATGTTGGAGACTTTCCACTTTCCTTTTACTGCATCTGGCCCTGAAATTAAAATATGAAAACTTGAAAAACAAAACAAAGACTGGCAATATCTTGAAGGTTATCACAGCTTAGGCTTGAAACTTAAACCCTCAAAATATAAAGTGAACATTGTAGGACTGGGTGTTTTACAATCTGTACTGTATGAATGACTACAAGTCAGAATATCTCCACCTCTGCAGCAATACTAAGCCGCCGGAGTAGCCCTTAAATCAAAGTTTAATGGTTTATAACATGAGATGTGTACAGTTGGCGAGGACAGCCTGTGAAAAAGGTGCTCGACCTACATTAACCACAATGCAACTTGACCGTCCAAACCTCTGTCAGAGATAGGGTGTGTTATGCTAGTTGTAGATTCTGTTGCTCCATCCCCTCAGATGTAATCCATTTACAAACTTGTAGTCTTCAGCCCCAACTAAAGCTGACTCAAATGACATCTCTTAAAGCAATTTATCAGATTGCAAGCGTATTTTAACTGGACTAGGGAAAAAAGGGCCCTTTATCATACACGCAGTAGTACTCACCAAGAGGCGTACAGAGACTTTGACAATTGACAATGTCCATTTAACTGCTGCTACAACCACAATATTCAGTAATTATTATATTCAGCCAAGGGGTGGTTATGTTTTCGGTTTGGTTGGTTTGGCAGCAGGATTGCGTAAAAGCTATGGGCGACGTTTTAATAACACTTGGTGGAAGAATGTAGCACGGGCCAAGAAAGAACCCATTACATTTAGGAGCAGATACACAAAGAATTTTTCACTTTCATTAACATTGGGAGATAGTACATTTGTCCTTGGCGTAGGTCTTTGTTCTCTGAGTGCTCTTTTAGTTTGTGATTTGTTCTGCTTAAACTAACACAGACAAGACAGAGAAAGAGTGTCTTTGTTAAGGATCGATTTCCAGGGGAACTCAGAGAGAATGAAAGAGAAACATTGTACCTGCTACCGCATCTCTCCACCAGCCACTGCAGGGCCTCTCCAGTGTTGGCGATGTGTTCCTCAATGAAGACCCCTTTAGGCAGCTTGTCCACCCCAGTAAAGACCACCATAGAATACCTCCAGGTCCCTCCTCCCAGGGCCCCCAGCTGCTCATCTGCTGCCCTCTTCTCGGTCTCCGTGAAGGGCTGGGTGACCGACACCACCAGCAGGATGGCGTGGGGTCCAGGAGGGCAGAGGATGGCCCCCATGCAGGGCCCCTCGCTGTCCAGGCTCTGCGGAGGCAGTGCCGGGTTCTCCGACTCGGCTCCGGCGTTCTCTTCGGGGTCGGGTTCTGTGTTTTCCACCGCTGGGTCGCTGGGGATGGCCCATGGCGGGGTGTCCACCACGGTGACCCGCCGCCCGTAGATCTCCGTCTGACCCACGTTGCTGTGGGTCGTCTCCGTCGCAACATCGAAGACTTCATCTCCCAGGATGCTGTTGGCCGTGGAGGTCTTACCGGACTGAGGCCCCCCCAGGATCAGGAGTCTGCGCTCAGGGGGCTGTCGGCTTCTGGGGTCCCCTGTTGAAACAAAGTGTGGTCAAATGTATCTCTGTTTGGCCCCTTTATTCAGTTGGATAACTTTTTGTGCTTCGGGTTAGGTAAATGGATTCACTTTGTTTTGGAGGTCCAATATGGAGCCTTGCCCGGGGCTGGAATTTGGCCGGTAGTGTTTATTTGATAGATCGTCTACATATTGTAATCTTTCACTGTCAATGTGTATATATTGTACATTTTAGTTCTGTTTTATTTTTGTATTTTGAGATGTTTCTATTTTAGGTTTATGTTTGTTTATTTTCTACTCTTTTTCATATTCAAATGATGTGCAATACCTTGCTTTAACATGCTGACGAAACGTTTTACCAAATTGGTATTAACAAACAAAATTGTATCTTTATCTTATCGTACTTTCCTTTTTCCCCAGGTTTCTATATGAGGGCATGAATCCAGAGCTCAGGTGAGAGCGTTAACATACATTATTTTGTCCACACATACAGAACACTTTCTTTTGTTTGTCTTATAGCAAGCTATTGTGGCTGTTACTTTGATTTTAAATTAAACGTTTATCTTTTAAACACGTCGGATCTCTTTACTCCCTTTTTGGATCTCTTTGGAAGGCGTGTCAAACTGCAAACATCCTACCTGGAGACTCAAGTCTCGTTCGGTTCCAAGGATGGGTTTGTTGATTTTATTTTCTGACTTTGGCCCCTAGAGGAAATGATCCTGATCCTTTGGTTTGTTCTAATCTCCTGTTCTGTCTCCAAAGTTTGGTCTTGTCCAAGTTTTTTTGTGTTCTTCTGCATTCTTATTACTCTGGTGTTTTCAATCTCCCCTGTATCCTCTATCCTTTATTTCTGTCACTAGATTTTCCTCTTCTTATCTGAGCTCCTTGTTACCTCATACCTCTTAAACCTCCTTTTCCTCGCCCCCTCTTTCACTCTTGTCCTCATCCCCTTCTCTCCCCTTAATCTCCCTCCCAGCATGCCTCCTCTTTGTTTTCATCTGTCCCTAGCTTTTGGAAAGAATTGGGTCAGAAAAAGGACAGACTTTGGACTCCTTCCAAAGAGAGTGACATGTGGACACAATATGATTTAGCAATCACATGAAGAGGATACATGTTTTGATAAACGACGTCACAGATATGAATGTTCACCAGGAAGGCAAGAGGGTAGATGCCCGCTCTGTGTGAATATGTCAAGAGGGAGGAACATAGAGTGAGGAAAGTTAATTGATTTACCCCCATTACTCATCACTGCTGACACTTTCGATGTGAAACACAGGAAGTTGTTCCCAGCAACAGTTTCCCAGTATTGAGGATGTTTTGGTTGCGTGAACATGAAATGGCTGTGAGGGTTTACCCCGGATGGTGCTGTGACTGAATGATGAGTGATGTGGGGGGGGGGGAAGGTGTGCAGCAAAGGATGAAAACCTACTCACCAGTGTCAGAGGCAGAGGACACAGCAGCCATCTTGTGTGTTGAACCTCTGGCTTCCTCCTCCTCGGCCCCCCTCCTCCTTCTCCTTCTCGCCTCCACGGTTGGATTCCTCTTCGAGCCTCTTCAGAAAGCGACGGATCCTGAGTGGTGTTTGAAAGGCTGGCAGCTCGAATGCTTCTCGACTCTCTCTTTCTCCCTTACCCTCATTCTACTGCAGTGTAACCCACACTATCGTCTGTGTACCCCTGCCTCCCTCTGCCATTCAACCTCTCCCCCTCTTTCTCCTTAGTAAAACAAACCTATTACCCTCCACACCCCCTCAAAACCACTATGGCTCCTTTTTTCTCTCTCGTCCTTTCCCTTCTGCAGCTCTTCTCCTCGTCTCCCTTTTTTGTCTATTTAATCTGCCGGAGCTAGAGGGGAGAGATTGTGCAATGCAGGAGTCTGGTAGCCAAATCCACCCGTGCTGCAGCAGCTCCGAGAAGATGTCTCGTCATTTTTTTTCTGAGGAAATACAGAGAGAGCTGGTCCTCCCACTTGCTCGTATCACACAGCAGCAGCAGCAGCAGCAGCAACAGCGTGGCACTGTATGCAGACTGCAGTCAGGAGGACAGATAGAAAGATGGATAGACAGAGAAAGAGAGGGAGAGAATGAAAGAGAATAAGGAAAGGAGGGGGGCAGAAAGGGAGCACTCTGTTCTCTGTTTACAGCTGGATGTATTCCCCAGCTGCTGCATCATCGTGCACAAACACAACTATTTATATGAAGCCTGCAGACATCAAAAACATTTTTGTGAAGCAGGGAGGGGATGTGGGCTATAATGCATGAATGAATTGAAATATTGATATAAGACATGCAGCCACAGCTTATATAATACATAACACCTTCAATAAATAGCATCTTATTGTGATACTGGTTGTGAGTCATTTCTAACGGATGGTGGGTATACTAATTATAAATCACCCTGAATGTATGAGCTCATCCTTGGCTCCTGAACAGGTTCATTATGCACGCTATATGGCGAGATACATTCAAGGACCCAAGCACAATCACGTGTTTAACCAACATATGGTTATTATTTTCTTCATAGTGCATACATAATATTTTAAAACCTCTAAAATGTTCTAGCCGTTGACGTACTCTCACGTAATGGGGCGTTGTTTCAACTCTGTTGCGTCGCAGCTGTTTTTAAACAAACACTTTAATTAGACTTGCCACTCTGCCGTAAACCGATAGAAAGTGTCGAACGCTGACCTCACGGCGTACGTCGTCGTGTACTGTCGCAAACCTCTCTCCATGTGATGCTACAATCTGCAGTCGGCTACTTTGGAAGCTAGTGTGTGTGTGTGTGAAGGTGCAGAGCAGACTTTAGTGTTTTAGCAGACTAAACCCCGTCTAACAAACATGGAGGCAGCCGACGAGTTCATGAAGTACCGTTCACCACTGGTGTCCAGGTATGCTAGCAAGGAAATGGCCTACAACTTCAGTGACAGGAAGAAATTCACCACCTGGAGGAAGCTGTGGATCTACCTGGCCAAGGCTGAGAAGGTTTGACACATTGAAGCTGCAAAAATAACAAAGCTAGCTTGTGCCCTTTCTTGTTTATATGCACAATATGTCATGCTTTGTAAGTGAACTAAAGTTTGCGACCTTTAGAGAGCACTATCAAGTTCCCTGCTCTATATATAGTTTTAAGGAGGGACAGCCTTTGGGAAGTTTCTGCATGATGCATGTCACTATAAGAGCTATCTCTGCTCCTTGTACCATACAACTGGGAACTAAACACATAATATAAAGTATCAAGACAATCTATAAGGGCAACAAATACAACAGTTTATCAGAATTCATGTTATTGTTCAAGTTCAAAAGTTATACAACTCTCAGAAACCATGAATACATTTAGATTGTAACCTCACTTACAAACACAATGAACATTTACTTATTTAATCATACGTTTTAACTTCTAGTTATAGAGGAAAATGAGGTATATACAACTAAAAACGTGTACATTTGTATTTTAGTATACCAAGTACTACTGGACTATTCATAAAGATGGAGTCTAGTAAGAAAACAAAGGTTATATTGAACTTCATTTCTGTTTTACACCAAATATCATGTTTGCGTTCTTTACTCTGATAACCATTGACAGCAAATGTTGGCAAAAATCCACCAGCATCACTGCAACAAGCCTTAACAATTTTTCTGGTTGATTTTTTTTGGCACTGATGCAATATACAGATTTATACATTGGTCCACTTAAGTAGCTTCTTTACATCTTCTTAACCTTCACTGTCCGACAGTATCACACATGAATAGCCTCTGTATCAGTTTATATACATGCTCCATCAAATGGAAGAAATCCTATGTGTGCATTAACAGTTCCCCAAATACCTTACATATTTTAATTTCATTTGGAAACGTGTGGTCTTTATCACAATTCAAACTAATGAAAATGTGGGATTGAGCAATGTTTGGTATCACAGCCTGCAATCATGCCGTCATAGGTTATTAAAAAAAAAAGAAGCACCCTCTGGAACATGTTGACATTTAGCTTGCAGACGAAACAGTCACGTGATCTCTCTAAGGTCCATCAGCTCATGTTTAGCACACAGGCATCAAGGCTCATCACATGCAGACATGTGCTTAATATTCCTCTCTTGGCATCAAAAACACTCAAATCCTAATTCTGCAAATCTTATAATTACTTAAAGTGAGTTCTGCATTAGCTATATTAAAGCAGACAGGAGTAGGAGGGGGTTAACTGGAGACAGACCCTCTCTCACATGCATCCCCTCACATGTCCACACACTAATCCCAGCTGATCAGAGTCCATTCTTTCTACATTTGGGATGTTATGTTAGCTTGCTGCAGAGATACGAGGCCTGTGTGTGTGAAAATAGCACACAGAGAATGTCCCAGTAACAGGATCCAGAACAACCCTGAGAGGCTGCGTGTTACCAGCCTAATGTTTTTAATATTTCTTCCTTTATTCAGTCACTATTTATAGACTTTCTAACAGACTGATCTTTGACCTTTAAGCTTTAGCCCTCCTTTAAAGTCCCTCACAGTCTTACATTAAAGTGCCTAAAATGAAGGCCTAAAAATGTCTCGATAGCCTTAAATATGCTTTTCATTAGCCATATAATGTAATGCTCTTCTGTTCTGTTATCTGCAGATAATCATAGGGGTTATCAGAATTTCTTTAAAGCTAATTCATGAAGCGTTCACTTCCAGCTCCTTAACATTTAGTGTTTACTTTTAGCTAGATTTAGACTTGTTATTTATGATTATTGTATTATTTAAACATGTTAATAAATTCATGAACTTAAAGTAATTTTAGGGGTAACTTTAATTCATAGGCTTCTCGTTTTTGTTCATACTTCAAAGGCTTGAGTGTAACATAGAAATGGTTATTAAATGCCATTCTATGTGGTATTACAAACATTTAACTTTTTAAAAACCTGCACAAACCCCGCCTTCAAAGCTTTTGTAAATCAACCCATAATGTTTAGATTTAACATTTAGCTGGATAACAACCTCATAACTAACTATTACTTTTGTATTCTTTTTTAAACATGTCAATAAATACATTTTCCTAAAGTAGTTCTCTGGCTTATTTGGATGTGTAGGCCACCATTTTCTCTTCATATTTCTTCCAGTATGTGTGCAAAATACAAATGCTTATTAAATAATATTCTATGTGGTCTTTAAACTCTTACATCTGCAGAAAGCCTTCATCAAGGACTGGGTCTCAGGCTCTATTTGTCAATTCTGTAGTCCCATCACATGACTGCTTTATCCCGATAGAGACACTTTAATCTAATCAGGATCTCACGAGGAGAGCACATGCCTGTCGACACTGTAGAGAGGACAGAAGGATAAGTCATCATCTGTTCAATCATCCCAAAGTGACGTGATTATTTTAATAGAACAAGGATATCAAATCATAATAAAATCCATGCTCTAATAACATTTACTGTACATCTCTATCAGCAACCTCTTAATTCTTCCACTGCCACTACGGTTTTTTGCACTACTAAATACTGGTAATATTTACATTAATTATGTGACCGTCTATGTTTTATGTTTCCTGTAGATATTTAATTGCTCTTTTTACTGCACTGTTAGTGTTCAGTTTTACTATTATGCTGCTGTGGTTATTGTATTTTTATAAGTCTGGCACAACAATTTCCTTCGGGATAAATAAAGTCTTATCTTATCTTATTCTTCATCACTCTCCTCCTCCTCCTCAGGCGTTGGGTCTGCCCATCACCGACGCCCAGATTGTGGAGATGGAGAGCCACGAAAAGGACATCGACTTCGCCATGGCGGCCGAGGAGGAACGTAAACTCCGACACGACGTCATGGCTCACGTCCACACCTTCGCTCACTGCTGCCCCACCGCCGCTCCCATCATCCACCTGGGAGCCACCTCCTGCTACGTGGGAGACAACACTGTAATTATTCCGTACATCGCACACTTTCTAATCAATAATCTCATATTTTTAACTTTTTTTTCCTTTTTTTAACACTTTATTGATTGTTTTTTCCCACACATAACACAATAACAGGAGAAAATACAGAGTACAAATGCAGGTGCTATATAAAAAATAAATACGAAAAAGATGACAAAACAATAATGATAATAACATAAAAAGACCATTACAGTAATAGCAATGACAAAAATAAACCAAAATACATGACATGATAAATTAAGGAACTTTCTGACCACATATAAAGAATAAAATAAAGGCCTGGGACTGAGTGTTTGATAAAATGACAAACAGGAAACAGAGATAAGGGAGTTTTATGCTTTTACCAAATATTTGGAGGCTTGAATTTGAATAAAACACTATTGACAAAAGGGAGATAGGAAATTAAAGGGGACATATTCTGCTCATTTTCAGGTTCATATTTGTATTTGGTTCCTCTACTGCAGGGGTCGGCAACCCTGGCACCGTAACCACTAGGAATAAGTGGAATAAGTGTGCAAAATATTTAAATTGTATTTTCGGATCCTGAACGAGATCGCCGCCAGAGCGCTTCTCCCCGTTACCTGCAGAAGGAAGCCATGCACGCAACGCAGCCCCGCTCTCTTTAACTCCAGGCGACTTTCTGCCGCTTTCCTCCGTGGTGCAGGGCTGATCGTTTCACCACAGAGGAAAGCACTTCACAAATGGCAGTACCCATAAGGAGCTGAACAAATGCCGCAGTTTTTGCGTGGCTGTGTCTTTAGTTGAAAGCCCAGTGGCGATCTGCTCATCTCTCATCGAAATAACATGCTACACAGGGGCGGACTGGCCATCTGTGTGTTCTGGGGAATCACAGAACGGACGGTCGTCATTATTATTATGCCGTTTAAACCAATTATTTCAATTTGTTTGTTAAATTCGGCATCATGTAAGTTGCGCTGACAGGTCCACACACTGCTTCCCCACAGCGAGGCTCCCCCGCCCCCCCGTTGATAATTCACGATCGTCGGCACGCTGATACAATTCTTTTTTTTTAATGGCACTTCATATCAAAAAGGTTGCCGACCCCTGCTCTACTGTGACATGTCTCCATGCTTTAATGTTCAAAAAGCTCTTTATTTGTCTCATACTGCCTGTG